ACAATGTCCTCGAGCTTCTAATCAATGATTGAAGTGGAAAAAAAATTAAAGGCATATATTTGTGAAAGAAAAAGCAAATTGTCTTTGTTAGCATTGTCTTATATGTTGAAGATTCTAAAATGTCTCTTAAAAGTCTACTATAATTAATGAGCAAGATTAATAACACTGTAGAAAACAAGATCAATATGAAAATTTAATTTTATTTATATAAACAACAAATCATCAGACAATAAAATTAAGAAAATCGTTTCATTTAAAATAGCTTAAAACTACTACTTAGGAATACACTTAACAAAAATATGCATGAACTGTACATGGAATACCACAAAGCACTGCTGAGAGAATTGAGATAGATCTATGTATTGAAAATATGCCATGTTTATGAATCAGAAGACTGAATATTTTTAAAATGACCCTTCTCACCAAATTGATCTACAGACTCAATGCAACATGCATACTGAGGCATCCATCAATCTACTCAAGTTGACACCTAATATTGACCATCATACTACCCATTTGACAAGGGATTAATAACCTGAATACATAAGTCAATATCATGTGGTATTTGCTTCAATATAGATATTAATCAATAGAAGAAAATAGAGGCCTAGAAACAAACCCTTATATTTATGGTTAATTGATTTTTAACAATGGTTCCAAAGCAATTCTATGAGGGATGTATAGGTTTTTGTTTTGTTTTTTTCTTGAGATGGAGTTTTGCTCTTGTTGCCCAGGCTGGAGTGCAATGGCATGATCTTGGCTCACCGCAATCTCCACCTCCTGGGTTCAGGCGATTCTTTTGCCTAGCCTCAGGCATGCACCACCAAGCCTGGCTAATTTTTTGTATTTTTAGTTGAGATGGGTTTCTCCATGTTGGTAAGGCTGGTCTCAAACTCCCAAACTCAGGTGATCTGACCGCCTTGGCCTCCCAGACTGCTGTGATTACAGGCATGAGCCACTGTGCCTGGCCTATAGTTTTTTTTAACAACTAGTAACATTTGTATATCCATATGCAACAAAAATGAACTTAGACCTCTACCCCACACCCTGATCAAAAATTAACCCAAATTTATCTAGTTAAGAGCTAACACTTCTGGAAGAAAATATTGAAGATTTTTAATTTTGCATAGGCAAAAGTTTCTATATACGGCACCCAAAACACAATATAAAAAATTAACAAATTTGACTTTTATCAAAATTAAAAGTTTTGCCTTTCAAAAGTCACCTTTAAGAGAAATAACAGATTCTGAAAAAACATTTGCAAATTATTTATCTGATTAAAGAGTTGTATTTAGAACAAAGAACTCTTAAAACTTAATAGTAAGAAGACAACCCAATTTAAAAAGACGCATAAGAATTTAATAAACATTTCATCAAGAAAATATATGAATGACTAATAAGACATAATAGCATGGACAATATCATTAGCCGTTAGGGAAATGTTAATTAAAGCCTCAATGGTATATACCACTAGAATGACCATAAGAAAAAAGATGGACAATACTCCAAGTTTTGTGAGGCTATGGAATAAGTAAAATCCTCACACACTGCTGGAGGCCATACAAAATAGTACAGCCACTTTGGAAGGCAATTTGGCAGTTTCATTCAAAGCTAAACACATGTTTATCACATGACTCAGCAAGTGTGCTACTACTATGTATCTATGTAAACAAAAGAAACAAAAATGTATGTCTACAGATTTGAATGATAATGTTCATAGTAGCATTACTTATAATGAACCCAAACCGGAAATAATTCAATTGTCTGTCAACTGGTAAACGGATAAAGAAAATATGGTATAACCATACAATGGAATACTATTGAGCAATAAAAAGGAAGAAACTACTGATACATAGTACAATGTGGTTTAATCTCAAGTGCATTATACTAAGCAAAAGAAGCTAGATACTAAAGATTACATGGTGTATGACTGCATGTATCTGAAATTTCTAGAAAAGGCTAAACTACAGAGATAGAAACTATGCTAGAAAGACAGATTGAAGGTTGCTTAGAGGTATGGGTAGGGGCGGGAATTACTGTATTTGGATTTAGGGGAACTTTTTAGATTGATAGAGATATTCTAAAACTGGATTGTGGAGATAGTTGTATAATTGTATATACATTTACTAAAAATTATCATACTGTGCACTTTCCATGGGTACACTTTATTTTATTTTTTTTTAATAAAAGATGCTATTTTCCTTAGTATGTTTATTGGGCCCCTCTTCATTAATAATATATCTGGATTGGTGACTTTAAAAATAAATTTTTTATAATTTATTAAAAAAACCTTTTTTAATTCAAGGAACAAAATTAAGGAGAATTTGGGGAACTTATATTTTTTTTCATAAAATGATATTGAGCAATATATGGATATAACTATATTTTCCCTGAGAATTTAAATAAAATTATTTATTACTTTTTATTTTCTTGAATAAAGTTCTGTGTTATGTCAAATTGTAATTTGATAATAAAAATTACCTTCAGAAAATTTCTCTGAAGGTTTCTTTTCTCTAGTAATTATCATTTTAAAAGTAAAAAAGCTTGTACTTTATTGCGATTTGTCAATAAACTTCAAATGAAATAGGATCCTGATTGTAAATAGCTAGATACCATCTTATTCCTGTCTACATTTTGCATTTTAAGACAAAGATTTGTAATTAATCTCGCAATTAGAGGAAATTGCCCTGCGTACCTATGAAAGAGATTTTTTATGAGTAGGAAATAATTTAACAATTAAGAAGGAACAGTCATGGGAATTCTGAGAGGTCTTAGGAAGACATTGCCTGAAAAGTGCCTAAAATGAACAAGACCCCCGTAATATTTTTAAAAATTAAACTAACTTTTAATCTCTTTCCTTTTGTAAGCAGAAAGCAGGAAAAACTTTTATCTATAATATTAACCATCTGTATTTTTCAGTGTTAAAGCCAGATAAGACAAATTAAAAAGAAAACATGATTTGGGAGATGTCAATGAGGCACAGAAGCAAGAATGCAGAAAGCATCATTCTGTGCTAGCAGCTGACCCCAGGGAATGTTACAAAGGAGGGGTGCTGTCCACTCTTCTCCCAGCATTCCCCTAACCATCCATTGCAGGAGTTCCCTGCAAGGGGGTGGGGGGGACTGCTCCCCACTGGCCAGCGCTACCTCCACTCCTGCTCTCCCCGTCTCTCAGAGCAAACAGGGCCATCTGATGCTTGCTGCCATGACATGCCCACTGCCCCAGCTTCCAAAATGACCATTTGAAGCTCCTCTTTATTCTCTTTTTGCCTTAGTGACCCTTTCCACCTAAGTGTTACGAGAAAAGCAATCAATCAAAATAATCAATGATAAGAAAATAAAAAGTCTTAATATTCCTGTGAGGCATTTCCATTATAAAACATTAACCTGGTATAAGGAAAATGTCAGGTAGACAGCAATGGCTCAATGAGAATTTTTCTTTTTATCCTTTGGATTCTTTCTTTTTTGGTTTGTCCAAATGCATTATCTCCTTCAACTAAATCATAGCAAGCTGTTCAACTGATTCTTATCTTGCACTCCCTGAACACAGATGCTGGAGGAAAAAGCGTGCAAGAGTGAAGGTGAACACCTATATCCTTCAGCAAACCATACTCATGGACTCATGATGTGATAAGTTCAATATTATCCTTCCAAGGAATTCCACCCCAGGGGTAGAATTGATGGCAACCTGCCATATCCATTGGAAGATTTGTGGGGACCTTTCATGGTTCCTCAACATCATCATGCCCATTCGGCCTACCCCCAAGCTCAGCCCACCGTAGCCCGTAGGTTAAGCAGTCCACACACAGTTACTGAGTACACCTCTATGCCAGGTCCTGGATCCACCAGGGTTTTGTGTTAGGTGCTGGAGATGAGCAGGTGACTATGACAATCCAGGGCCTTTAGGGAGCACAGTCTGTCAAAGCAAAAGACTGTCAAAGCCATGTTCTGTCCCGTGCAAAGTATAAACAGCCTTGGAAAGAAGGTTTCTTGCTTTCTAGCCTTGTAAATTTGAGCATACCGTCAACAGTTTTAGAGGCTCCATTTTCTGTACCTAAACGTAGAATTAGCCTCTTTGATTGAGAGAGAACACCTTTTATTCTACACAATTGACACTTAATGAAGAGCAGGCCTATAATTATAAGTTTCTCAGACAAAGCTGGGGGCAATCAAACACCAGTTAACGGTGGTTTACGTTTAACCTTTTTTTTTTTTCTTTTTTTCTTTTTCTTTCTTTCTTTTTTTTTTTTGAGACAGTATCGTCCTGTTGCCCACAGCTGGAGTACAGTGGCGCGATCTGGGCTCACTACAACCTCAACTTCCCGGGTTCAAGAGATTCTCCTTGCCTCAGACTCCAGAGTAGCTGGGATTACAGGCGGGTGCCAACGCCTGGCTAATTTTTTGTATTTTTAGTAGAGATGGGGTTTCACGGTGTTAGCTAGGATGGTCTTGATCTCCTGACCTCGTGATCCGCCCACCTCAGCCTCCCAAAGTGCTGGGATTACAGGCGAGAGCCACCGCGCCTGGCCTAACCTGACCTTTTTATCAACCACCCGTAACCACCAAAGCGTGAGGGGGATCAATATTATTATCCACAGGAAATGGGACCTGAGATTCACAGGAACTTAATCTAGTCCCTCAAACCAGTGCTAGGATTTAGCTATTCTCCCAAATGTTTGGAATGAGAAGTTTTGCTAAAAGCCTTATTTCCAAATCAAAGAAGGAGGTGCACATGGTGGGAAAGACAGGTCCACAGGACTTTAGTTGGGAAAAAATTCTGAAAACTAAAAATCTTTCCGACGTACCCAGTCATTCCCTTGTACTCTCTGACCTGACACACGTGACTCTGGGAGTGCGCTGCCGCAGCTGCAGGACCGCGGGACGCGCGGGGCGCCTTGTCCCTGCAGCGGCGAGTTCCGGGCGCAGCCGACCCCGCCGCGCTCTCCGCGAAGGCGGTCCGCGTCTCTCCGCGCTCCGCGCCGCGCCTGCGCCCTGCACTATAAGTAGCGCGGGCCCGAGCACTCCGTGCAGAAGTTCCCCGGCGCTCCGGCAGAGGGGGCTTCTCGCTGCCTGCGGCGCGGCGCGGGAGCGCTCGGGCTCGGGCGGACTCGGCGCCCGGCGCTCTGACTGCGCCCTCTCGCCCCAGGCGCCGGCGCGCGTGGGGAGCAGCTGCACCAGGTGGCGTCCGAGGTGGTGTCGATGAAGCGCAGCCTGAAGAGGATGTGGCGCCCTGGGGAGAAGAAGGAGCCCCAGGGCGTGCTCTATGAGGATGTGCCGGACGACGCGGACGACTGCAAGGAACCGCTTAAGGTACCCTGGGCGCTCGGGGGTCGGGACGGCTTCCGACCTCGGGGCGGGTGGGAGTCGGCTCGAGGTTTCCTTGCGGGCAGCCCTGGGTTTGGAGGAAGCGTGGGGGGGCCGCGGCGGGGGTGGGGGGTGCAAGCTTTGGGGTGTGTGCACAATCCGAGAGGAGACCCCGCTGAGGACGCGCCGGCACAGCGCCAGCTTTATCTGTTTTGTTTGCTTGTTTGTCCAGTCTGTTCTTGCTCCTAGATGGGCAACTGCCGTCCAGGGAAACCTGCGTCAAAAGTATCTGCATCACTTGGTACAAGATCGGGCAGCTGCCTAAAATCAGGACAGTTTGGACTCTGAGCCGTTTCACTTGGAGCATTTTGTAGATTTTGTTTAGAACCAAATAGCCGAATGACTGTATCTGACAGCCGTTGGATAACTGTTTTAAGTTTTGGGGATTGAGAAGTCTTCTGGTCTAACAGAGTGAAACAGAGAAACCAATTATCTGCACAAAAAGCTTTACAGAAAATGTACCCAGTAAAATGGAGGCAGGAGTGGCGAATTCCTTCTCCAGGAATTCAGTAGTGCCTTGTGAGCATTTGAACCTAGTACTTCCTCTAAAGAGTGTGGAATTGGGTTATTGTTGACAGCACATCGCTGAACAGATCTCCCAATCTGCTCATTCTGGCACTAGGGAGTGGGCAGCATAATCCCTTTATTCCCCAAAGAGTGTATCAAATTCAAGTGCCAGAATGGTTCCAAATAGATTTAGATCAACACTTTCTTTGAAAGGATGAGACATGGAAAAAGACCCTACTTCTGCAAGAACTCTATTTTAAATTTTTAACTAAATATGTGTAAATTTGGAAGTGGTTGGTGCTCATTTTCATATCCTGTAGCCACTAAAGTTATATGTAGCTTATATGGAATTCTTTTTTTTTTTTTTTTTTCAGTTAAAAAGTAATACATCTCAATTTAAGAGACTACCATAGAGGAGTGACTTGTTAGGTACCATACTGTAATAACAGAAGCAAAAGCCAAAGTTCAAAAATTTAAGAAATTATGTTTTATTGTTCCAATCTGACATTTGCTAAATAAATTCTAATATTCTAAATTCTTAGTTGTATTAAGATACACTAAATAGTTTAATACTTCATTTTAACTGATAATTGCTTTCAGTAGTGAGAAATGCTCTAGTTATCCTTAAAATAGCAAACTGGAGTTTTGCCATGTTATTATGTGACATATGTAAATAGTTATGGTCAATGGTAGAATTAAAGCAAGTATCTGAATCATTTGGGGAAGAGTTCTGCATTTCCTTTGCAACAACGAAGAAAGGCCTTTATATCTAAGCATATATGAATTTATGATCATGATCAAAAAATTAAAAATTTTTATTTTATATACTGGTCAGTCTTGGGGCGTTTTCTCATACCTTCTTTGTGTCTGTAAACATTTTGTGTATTTCAAAAAAAATATTTACCTAATTATAAGGATAATAGTTTGTGATAATAAAAAGTTCTTTCAAGCTATAAAATATTTAACTTTATATCCATAAGTTTTGCATATATTTGTTTGATATAATGGTCTTTAAATATCTCTAGGTGGTTTTTGAAGGAAGTGCGTGTGGATTACAAGACTTTATATTAAACAGATGTGACAATGTGGACATCTCTTTGCATTACGCTGCAGCAGAAGGCCAAGTTGAGCTAATGGAGAAGATCACCAGAGATTCCTCTTTTGAAGGTAACAAAATATCTTCCAGAAATCATTCATCTCATTCAATTCACTGGGAAGAATGAAATGGATTGATTCTTGAGGGTAATTAGTGCCAATTATAAAGAGTCTGTGTATTTCACTTAGCAGTGTGGGTTTTCCTACACACCAGCAATCCTCAACTTCTTCTACTGAAATACTGCAAAGAATATTACAGAGATCTAGGACACCCCACAACAAGCACAGACTTTATTTGAATTTTTACATAGACTGTAAAAATACATATACATTTAATGTACTCTTTTATACTATTTCCACTGAGGTTATATTTAAATTATTATCATTAAGTAAAATTGACACTTCAAGAAAGTGTACCATCCTCCCTCAGTGATGTTTTCCAGATGCCAGCCTTGTCCACTGTACCTTGTTTAAGAAATTCAAGTGCAGACAATGAGGGAGGTAGATGCCACAGAGGTGGAGGCAGTGGGTGGTGTGATAAGACCTTTGCTACCTAAGATAATTCTGTCAATATTGTGGAAGGTGGATTAGAAGTGGAAGACCAACTAAAAAGCTATTTTGGTAATAAGGAGAGGATAAGAGTTCACCAGGGTTGTGAGGCTACAATAAGGAGACAGGGAGAGTTTCCAGAGATATTGGCATGTAAAGTCAACAGTGGGTGACAGCAGAGTGAATGGGAAGAGAAAGGAGCAGGGAGTTGGAACTGACTTTGAAATTAATAATATAATCATCCCCCAAAAGGAGGAATATGAGAAAACAGAAAAGATATGAGTGTGAGGATGTGAGCTTTGGTCACAGTGAGTTTGAAAGGCCCAGGGGACATCCACTTGGAAATAGCCAGCAACAGAAATGCGGAAGGAACGAGGCCGCCCTACTGGTGCATGATTGCATAGGAAGTCACTGAGACAGTGGAAATGTGTGAAAATCCTTCAGGGGATCACAAAATTGCTAGCAAAAGTAGATAAGAGTAGAATGCCAACATTAAGAGACAGATGGCAGAGGAAAAGCCATACAAAGATGAAGAGAGTGAAAATACACAAGCCATGGACAAAGTTACTGGGATAGAGTTAGAAGAAACTTGCCACAAAGAGATCAAGTAGGAAGGAGATCATGATAAAGCCCCTGCATTAGAAGGCCCCAGTGACCTCTGTAAAACTGATTTCTGAAATGTGGTGAAGATAAAAGCCAAATTCAAGTTACTTAATTAGTGAATGGGAGTTTTTAAGTATAGAGCCCTGTTTAAGTTTGGTGCCAAATGGAATGATGAATGGAGTGATTCTTCTTGATGAGATAGAACGGTCAAGGGATGTGTGTGTGTGTGCATATATGTGTGTGTGTGTACGTGCATGTGTGTCTGTTGTTTAGAATGAAGCACTTAGATGAATGAAATGAAATAGTAGAGAGATACGTTTTAAAAAGGAAACAGAAAACATGGCTATGTGGTTCCAAGTATCATAGATGTTCCCCAAATCATATTTATGAGCAAATTTTTTTTCCTTTCCTGGCATAAAGATATACTGCCACTAACTTACAAAGCTGATAAAGCAGACAGCCATGTCTATTTTAGAATAGTTATATGACTTTGCAGGATGAAAGGACATATTACTTACATGCTGAGCTCACAGGGTAAATAGTGCCATGTATCGTATTGTAGAAATACGTGGAAACCACATATGGCATCAGGGGCTCAAGCTCAAATTCTACTCTTGTGTTTTATTTGTGGTGTATCTTTTTTTCTCATTAACATTTTTTAAACCATTGCTACAGGCCAGGCACTCTGCTGTGATCCTTAAAGACATGTTTTAATATTATTGTCCCAGAACATTGCAGCATTGCAGGGTCTCTCTCTATATATGTATTTCTCTCTCTCTCTCTCTGTGCAGGTATATGAATATATGGTTTTTAAATTTTTTTATTTTTTACCAAGTTTGAATACAAGGAAGCTGAGGTTCAGAGAGGTATGGTAACTTTCTTACTTCTTACTAGCTCTTTGATGTTGGCAAGACTTTTAACCTCTCTGGACCTCAACATCTTACTCCTTCTGAAAATTTGTCATGGTGGTACCTTGCAGGCTGTTGGAGGCTTGACTGAAATAATGGTCATGTGAACTTAGCAGAGTGCCTGGGACATAGCTATTGCTTTTATGTAATCCCAGTATTTTATCATAATCCCAAACTCATTTAGATAAAAACATGTAGCAATAGGAGGATCTATTTCTTATTAATGCTACCAATAGAAATTTAACTCAATTGATAATGTCAGTGCCATGCTTCTATATGTTCCCACTAGGTACCCATTAAATGTTTCATTAGAACCAAAGCTGTGTTTTTAGTTTCCATAAAGAAGATGCAGCTGATTTCAGCTGCACTTGGCACTGAGTTTTGAGATGGATTGGCACTCAAGAGGTGTTGAATATAGTCCAAGCAAAATTTAATCCATACTTTGGTTTCTTTTTCTAGTGCTGAATGCAATGGATGATTATGGAAATACTCCTCTGCACCGTGCTGTAGAAGAAAACCAAATTGAAAGTGTTAAGTTTCTTCTCAGCAGAGGAGCAAACCCAAACCTCCGAAACTTCAACATGATGGCACCCCTCCACATAGCTGTGCAGGGCATGCACAATGAGGTGATGAAGGTAAGGCTACTGGCTGGCTCCGATGGGCCTGACTGGCAGCACCCATTGGACCTGGGACCCAAATCCGGCTCTTTCTGCCTGCGCCAGGAGGAGCAACTTCTAAGCTTCCAGAGAAAACAAAATGCAAATATTACATTTGCTTTACTTCTCACCAACTAATGGTGATGATGATGATGATGATTAGTTCTGCCTTTATTAAATAGTTCTTATTTGCCAAGCATTTTTGTAAGAGATTTGTGTGTGTTTGTTTATCAAATTCTCATCTAAGCAAACCCACAATGAAGTAATTCTACTAGTATTCTCATTTCCTAGCTGAGTTCACTAAGGTGCCAAAAGAATTTGCATAACTTGCCTAATGTCACATCACAAGTAAAAATGCAAGACTAAGGAATTTTGTTTTGATCTTCATGTTTTCATGAAGATCAGGCTTTATCACTTTTACCTAACTGATTTAATGACTAAAAGGAAGAAGGTAATGAGATACTCAGTGAAAACAGAAAACATAATTATAATTCGATGTTTTTGTTAGAATAGGTGGCCTGTCAGAAAGATTAGTTAGCAGAAGACATAAGGATACTACTGGGAAACAACATCTTACTGGTTTTCAAGGTATAAGAGTAAGTTTGGTGAAATAGAGAAAACTCTGGAAAATTGCTTAAGGGTAAGAATTAGGCCATCATTTTTAAACTACATCTCAGAGTCTCTCAAACACACTGGAATACAAACATGCTTAAAGAATGAAGAATCTAATTTACAAAGGGATCATGTTCCAGAAGCTCATTTATAAGGTAGGCTGTTTGGAACTTACAATAAGCTTTCTGGTAGAAACAATGTCCAATGAGAGCCTTGAGTTTCAGGCTCTCTTTAACCCAAAACCTTTCTCTTAGCCCTCTAAGACCTTGGCTCCTTTAAGTCTGGCATAAAAGGTGTGAGAGAAACCACTTTCTGCTTTCCTACTGTACCTTATATGTGACTGTATTAAAATTCTTAAGAGGTGATACTGGAATCAAATGTTTATGTGCTTTTCTTCCATACTGGCTAATTATGCTTGAGGGAGGAGCTGTGTCTTACTAATTCAAATATCTCTTATTCCTCAGCACGTGCTGTTAAGTGATGGCTATTGAATGAGTGAATGAGTGATTGAATATGACTATGAATGAATGAGTTAATGGGAGCTCTGTCTGAGAAGAGGGGAGCTGAAGTCTCATTACCTATGAGATAAGTCAGGGTGGCTCCCTGAAGAGGTTACTAGAAAGTCCTGTGGCAACAAGCTGTTTTTTTTTTTTTTTTTTTTTTTTTAAATCTGCATTATTCATGATCCTAGTGCTGTTTCTATATCATCTGGGTTGGGCCACTAATGACTACAGGAAATTTTCCCAGAGATGTCACATATTTCTTCACGGAGCTCTGTGCTCCCTTGGAAGGATCTTTTCAAGAACAAATGCCTATTAACTTAATAATGGCTCTGAAAGTGTGGTTTGGAATTCGAAGGCAGGTAACTGTTGAAAGCCTATTGTTAATTAGAAAGCAGAAATCCCCAGACCAACAAATACAGAAAGGTAGTATCACATAGAAATAGAAAATAGAGATCCTAACTGAGTCATAAACTTGGTGGTGGACATAAAACAAATTTTCCTGGTGACACCGGAACAAGCAGAAAAGTAGAGTTCTAAGTAAAATGGACTATTGTGGCTGGTAAGACTTGCTTGGTCTTACCAGCCACAACTATGTCTGAACTATTTTCAGATGACTCTGTTTCAGCGGAAATGACAGGAATAGAAGGAAGAGAAGGTGTTTTGGAGTATCTCCGCTCATGCTTGCAAACAGCAGTTCTCTCCACCTGCCTCTCTCAGTTATGCCCGTGGTCCGGCCTGTATCCACCCAGCCTCTATCAGTTTAGAGGCTCCTCCATTGGCTGCTCCACTAGCTTTCCCCCAAACTTTCCATCCACTGCCTATAATGGTTGTAAAGTTAAAAGAAAATTGTCATCTGTACATCACTTCAAGTGTTTGAACAAATAACCTATGGGATATTGTTATGGCATAATATTCCCTGGGACACCCTGGCCTGGGGATTAGGAGGTGGTTTTGTTGCTCAGTGCCCTGCAGGCCCTAGTCCTTTGGGCTTCACTTCAAAGTATCCAGTTGTTTCACCCCTCCATGAGACTTTCCAGATTCTCATCAAAGGGCCCTGCAGAGAGCTCACCTCTGAACCTTCCAGACTTGCCCAGTCATGACTGCATTTGAAATAGGTGCACAGCTTAGTTGTTCTCTCTGGGATCCCTGCCACATATAACTTAACACAGCTTTTTCACAGATTATGCTTTTGGTCGTACAATAATGGCCCAGTAAATGCTACAAATTTATGATCTATGATTCTAAGGAAAAAAAGAGAGAAAAATACCTTCATGTAGACTTTGGTAGGTTATTTTTCATGTGAATCTAGAGATTCCTAAAAACAGAATGTGATGGTGCCTGAATTCCATAGAAGGAATCTTATGTTCTCATTTGCCTTAATCCATCAATCATTTCTCCACATATTGTTATGTACTAAACTCTGAATTTAATTTTCTTTTACCAGCACAGCTAATTAGTAAACCTAATTCATTTGCTGACACTCACATAGGGCATGCTTTGTTAACAAGATGTTCTGATAGGATGTTGTATACTTTTTTTTTTTTAAAGAAGTCAAGGTTTTTAAGAAACATTATTTAATACATTCTTGTAACATTATTTAATTATAAGGATATGTCATCATTTATCATAGTCTTTCTGCAAGTGGAAAAGCCTCTAGGAGGCCAATTCAAAGATTTGATAAGACATTTATATGAGATAATTTTGTTACATTGAATATAAAAGAAAGACTAGTCAAAGATCTATAGACTCTTGGGTAATAATCATTGGGCAGTCAACCAGGTGAGGAGGTAACAGCTCTTCAGTGAAATTCCATCAAAAAATTACTTGACCATTTTTTCAGGACGCTAATTTCTTACATTGTAGAGAAAGTTTCCATTCCAGACCAAATATGAATTAAATGAGTTACACCATTTACAAAACTTTTCTTTATTAAAGAGAATAGAGTTTCCACTGACATTTCCCAAGATTCTTGTCATCCAGGTAAAAGAAATATAACTAGAAGAAAAAAAAATCCCCTTTTGCCCTTCTCTCTCCCTCCTTCTTTCTCTTTTACTTTCTTCCTTCTTCTCTGCCTCTCTCCTCCTTCCATCATGAACCCATTTTAAACGGCTCCACAAATTTATTTTCCTGAAAATAGTAGTTAACGTAACTCTACTTAATACAAGTCAGAAATATTAAGTGAAACTATGATAACTAGTATCTATCATTCTTATTTTATTTACAATTCCAGAATCAGTATTGCCTGAATTATTGTAACACTGAAATCATGATTATTTCATCCAATGGAGAAATTAATTAGTACCCACAATGTGCAAGATTTTGTGCCAGGTTGTGTGAGAGAAGGATGAATAAAAGATAAACAGACATGGTCTCTGGCATTTGAGAACTGAAAATCTAGTGAAAGACGACAAGTACCTTATTTGGAAATCTGCAAAAATTTTCATAATGATTCTCCCTTTTTGTGTAGGTCTTGCTTGAGCATAGAAGTACTAATGTTAATTTGGAAGGAGAAAATGGAAACACAGCTGTGATAATTGCATGCATCAAAAATAATAGTGAAGCACTGGAAATTTTGGTTTGTATATTAGTCATGTCTTTCTGCTTTCTTTATCTTTTCATGAACACAATATGAATTATTATTGTTTACAAAAGCGCTTTTCTCCCTAGAAAAATGTAAAATATAAAAACCAAGTCAGAAAAAAGTTGTTCTGTGTATTTTTGTGTATGTAGTCGCTCCTTAAGTGGATCTGAGATTGCTTATAGAAGATTAATAGTAAAGCAGTAAAGAAAATTATGAGAAAATCAAAGTGAAAAGAAAATATAGCCAGGAAAAATTGAGATGAAGCTGGTGGTCAGGATAGAATGTAAAATACAAAGTGCATGGCCTGGATCTTATAAAGATGGATTGTACGTATGATTCTGAGCTTCTGAATAGTCAAAGGAAAGATGAATATAGTCAGTTGCAGACTTACTGGGCCCACAAAAGAAAAGGCAAAGAAAACACAGCTCCCAAGACATGAAGAAATTATTGCCATATGTTCTCAGAAACGGAGCCCTGCGTGATATAATGACAAAGGTTCTTAGCTGCATGCCTGAGAGTAGAGCCAGCCTTGTCTCTGGTGAGGCTTCCTGGCATGGTCCAGTGAGGCGATGGAGATGCCTGTCTACATGACTTCCTCCTGCTTCTGGCAGTGTTCTGAGTGTGCTGTTAGAATCCCAGCAAGCTGCCTTTTTTCAAGTATCCCTTAATCACTTTCATGTTATTCAGGCCAGGGTCTTCACCATCCCAGAGAGTAAGAAAATAAAATTAAATAATTTAAAAATATTTGCCTGATGTTTAAATGTGCCATACAAATATGTTTTAGCACCTTTACTAGATAGACTTAGAGACAGGTTACATCCTTTAAGCTGTCATGATTGGACCACAAAGAAAATAAATGACAAAGAGAATAATAAATTAACGAACACTCAAACCAAGAATTTAGGAAAATTAAATTAACCAAATTTAAATTAACCAAAAGAAAATTGGAATAAAGAAATAGTATTGTTGAAAATACTATAAAAAACAATATTTTTAAAAGTCTGGCTTCCTTGCAAATTTAATTTATGTGTATACTATATGACAACATTGTTCAAAAAAGCTTTTACTTATCAATATTCTTAAATAATATGATTTTATAAAGTACATTTTCAATTTCTGGACTCTCTATATATGTAATTTCTGCATGATTACATATAAAGTAAACTGATACTGTCTCTAAAAGCTGAGATTACAGGTAGTATTGGCTGCTTTACACTTTTCTACTTTTTCTTTTTCTTTTTTTTTTGAGACGGAGTTTTCGCTCGTTACCCAGGCTGGAGTGCAATGGCATTATCTCGGCTCACTGCAACCTCCATCTCCTGGGTTCAAGCAATTTTCCTACATCAGCCTCCCGAGTAGCTGGGACTACAGGCTGCGCCACCATGCCCAGCTAATTTTTGTATTTTTAGTAGAGACGTGGTTTCACCACGTTGACCAGGATGTTCTCGATTTCTTGACCTCATGATCCACCCGACTTCACCTCCCAAAGTGCTGGGATTATAGGCGTGAGCCACCGTGCCCGGCCTCTACTTTTTCAAAATAATTTTTTATAGTAATTAGATATATTTAAAACCAAAGGCTAATGATTTACGGAAAATGGTAGTTTAAAATGATTGGATCAGATAAAAAGGTAAATAACATTCAGTTCTTCTAACATCTTTATAGTTAAGAAACTTCATTAGTGAAAATATTTGATTATCATGGTTTAATAAGAGTAGTGGCACATTCATTTATTAATTTTGCATAAAGGAAATAATCTGAGAAATATTATCCCTTTATTTGCATCAGAAACTGAAAATGGTTATAGAAGTAATGATAGTGCCTATAAAAATCTCATCCATCCCATTGAAAAAATGTGTTGACTTTATTTGCTGGGGTATCAAGATTGATATTGTTGTGTTTACATTGTTACTTCTTTGGAAAATATAAAATGTCTGTATTTCAGAATCTTAGCCTACTTCAAAATTACCTTCTTGCCTAGATTTTATCCCATATGAAGCTCTCTATGTACTTTTACATAGACATACAATAGTAAAATGATATGGGAGAGGCACGTCAATTCTCATACACCCTTGTGATTTGGGGTTTAACTGGTGTCATTTTTCATTCTATGCTTTTCTTCCAGCTTACCAAAGGAGCTAAGCCATGTAAATCAAATAAATGGGGATGTTTTCCTATTCACCAGGCTGCATTTTCAGGTTCCAAAGAATGCATGGAAATACTATTAAGGTTTGGTGAGTAGAGGCTTTTCCATGTTATATACTAGAAATAAGTCTATTCTGGTGGATGCTATTCATTTGATTTTTTTTTTTTCAGATGGAGTCTTGCTCTGTTGCCCAGGCTGGAGTGCAGTGGTGCGATCTCGGCTTACTGCAACCTCCGCCTCCTGGGTTCAAGTGATTCTCCTGCCTCAGCCTCCTGAGTAGCTAGAACTATAAGCATGTGCTACCACGCTGGCTAATTTTTGTATTTTTAGTAGAGATGAGGTTTCACTGTGTTAGCCAGAATGATCTCAATCTCCTGACCTCATGATCCAGCCACCACTGCCTCCTATAGTACTGATATTACAGGTGTGAGCCGCCACACCCAGGCTAATTTGAAAAATATTTAACAGAATTAAACCCAAGCTTTTATGTGTCTCAGTGCCCTTTCTTTTTTTTTTTTCTAATAAAAAACCTCCCTATTGTTCATTTTATATATTTGTTATGTTGAATGTTATTTTCTTCTAAAGGTGAAGAGCTTGGGTACAGTAGACAGTTGCAGATCAACTTTGTGAATAATGGGAAAGCCAGTGCTCTCCACCTGGCTGTGCAAAATGGTGACTTGGAAATAATTAAAATGTGCCTGGACAATGGTGCACAAATAGACCTAGCGGAGGTAAGTCTTCATATTCTCTATGACACTTTTATCTTAGAATTGTCATAACCATATAAAATGCTTTACAGCTCTTTTACAGTTAATTTCAATTGAAATACATACAAGAAATATTATATCCTTCTGCTTATAAAGAAGCAGAACAAGAAAATACCCCAAGTTTCAATCTATGTAAAGAATTTTGAGAGCTCCCCAAAACAATTGCAGACACAAATACAGACAGAATAAAGAATATATATCTAGTGCCATTGCCATTAAATCAGTTAAAGCCTACCCTCAGAAGATGATAACGTTCAGCCAGGAACATTAAAGCCCAACTATGAATGTATTTGGTTTTAGTTCTACTCAGAAGAGCTATCATTTTTTAAACTAAGGATCACTTAACTAATTTCTAAGGATAGGTATGTGAAAGTGTTGACTGTGTTTGGGATCCATCCTTATGCCACGCTTCTCTTACCAAAAGTGGAGAGTTTTGACCCTTTTTCCTTCAATGTCTGAGTTTTGGGTGGCAACAAGCTCCTCTCCAGGATATTGTAAATGCCTGTGTTTTCTGGAGGAAGAGAAGATTGGTTATTAATCTAATGTGGCTTCTGAACACTGATCCTAAGTCCCTTCAATATGGAAATGAAGAGCTGCCTTGGGTGGTATGGAGTCTGAAGTCACCTCATATACTTACAGCAATGAATGAGACACTGTTCTCATGTTCCTGGGGGAAAGAATGGCACCCAGACAAAGATGGAGGAAGTATATGCCAAGAGTTGTTACATTAGAAGGAAGCTCAATTGTCAGCTACAATCTGGATATGGATGCTTGTCTTTGCAGGTCCATAAAATCAAGAAGTTTCTGCCACAATTCAGAGGATTAATGGTGATCAGTTTGATTGATACTCCTTGATTTTATGAACCTGGGAAGAAAAAGCTCACAGCTCAATATAAATTATATTCTTACATTGAGATTTAAACATTGATTCTAGTATTAAAACCCTTTACAGAAGGGGAGGTGCACAGCCCTTCATTTTGCTGCCACCCAGGGAGCCACTGAGATTGTTAAATTGATGATATCGTCCTATTCTGGTGGCATGGATATTGTTAATACAACCAATGGAAGTGGTGAGACCATGCTTCACAGGCAAGTTTCCTATCTGTCATTCTGTATACAGATTTTTTGTCTTCATTTTCCTAATGCCAGGAAAGATTTTGTGGTTCAAAAGAACAAAGCAAAGATAACAAAGATCCTGTGGATCAGCTGGAATCTCGTATGTCCCTTGGGAATAAGAATAGAATCTTAAAGAAATTTCACAGAATAAAGTCACCTGGGGTGTTTTCTGATTCAAGTCCAGTGGATATAGCCTCAAGATTAATTTTCTGTATGCTAAAGATGTCTACATACAAGGTCTTCCAAGCCATTTCTAATCTGTTCCAATTTCTCATATTTATTTTACCCCCATTTTTAGTGACAAAAATGGAGCAGATACATATGTTTATTTCACCTTTCCCACACTAATCCTTCTGCTAATCCCCAAATTATAGATAAATGATTTCAAAGGATATAGTTTCAGGAAATTATAACCAAGTTGCCAAAACAATAACCAGTTGATTTGAAGTTTAACAGAAATATACATCAAGCAAAGTGTATTAAAACATAGGCTTACTAGGTTCTGGGACAGAAAACAAGCAGTGTAGACTGGAAATTCAATTCTTGTGGAAAGACAAGTACCAGATGGTACCCATGTGAGTGAAAGAGGTGTCTGAAGTGAGCCTTCACTCTCTTGGTCTCTTACACACACACGCGCGCGCACACACACACACAAAGACACACAGAGAGAGAGAGAGAGAGAGAGAGAAAGAGAGAGAGAGTCAGAGCCCGATACATTTTTAATAAGCAACCAGACCTGGAAATCTACAATATCTCTTAGAAAAAAAGAAACTCTAGCTACCAATACAAGATCTGTTTCTAATAAATGTACACACTAGCAAAACCACGAGGCACAATAGGATATGTTTGAATAGAATGGAACTCCCACTTAGGATGAATTTGCAAAGTAAAATTTTACAGCATGAAAGTAACAAAAAACTATGAAATTAACAAAAGGCCAATTTATTTCCAAGAAAATAGAAATAATAGGTCATTCCAAAAAGAATTTTAAAATAAAGATATTTGAGACCTTAAAATTTAAAGGAAGGAATAATCAGTTATGTAAAACTAAATATATGAAGATAACATAAGATTGTGAAAAACAGATTGTCATATATGAATCCAGTATTGGTGATAAAAAAGTGATTTGGTAAAAAAGAAGTTAAAAAGGAGTCATTAAAATAAAATGAAAACTCAGTAGTAGGTAGACTAACCTCTAGACCGGAGATTCTCAAACTGTTGCATGTTAGAATCATGTGGGCAGCTTATAAAATCCCAGTGCCAATTGATAACCTAGAATATATCAAAATCTTTGGGATGAGTCTCAGGAGTTAAAGAAAAAAAATTGATTCCAATGTGTCACCAATTTCCAAACCCAATGATTTGATTATTATTCAAATGTATCTTTAGAACACAGTCTTAGTATATTAATATGCATAACAAGAAATTGTCTTAGGAAAATGGGGCCTTATGTTAGAATTTGTTCCCTAAAATTACTAAATATAATTAACGTATTTTAAATGTAATGCAACCTCTGGTCAATTCAGGGTGAAAATCAGCAAACCAATTCTGAAATTTATGTATAAAAGGCCAAGAATAGCTTGAAGAAAAGAAATGAGATTTGTGATGGGAAACACAAAGCTTTTAATCATTAGTATTGACATTTGTTATGGTGGTGCTTTAATATAGATTGAAATTTTTACTTGCTTTGTAATTAATGTTATCCTTATGACTGCCCGTGAGATGATACCAAAATGTTTCAGTTCTTTCCGTAATTATTTTTGGCTTCATAAAAACTCAGAAAAGCCAACATTGCCTTTTAACCTTTGCCAAAGAGGAGTCCCTCAAAGAGGAGGTTTTGAACCCTGCAGACGAATTTGAGGCACACCTTACATGTAGCTGTTGCTGTTCCCCAAGATAATAGCAATACCAGGGATTCCCTTGTCTTTTCTATCTTGGGACAAATGTTACTACTCACTTCATAACGTCTTCATGGTGATTTTATAGGAGAAAATAGGTTTACTAAAGGATGAGGAAGAAAATATTGTGATGTATTTGGTGTTTCCCTATTATTATTACTTTGAAAATGCTACCCTAAATCAGAATCAAATTACAAATTTTAAAAGCTTACTAATTCTCTAACATTCTATCATGTTATTCTATAATTGGTTAAATTCACTTTTCGAATATAGTAGCTTTATTAAATACATCTATATTGACATCAATAATACTTTAATTATAATATTTATGATTTTGTGTTTTTTTTCAGAGCTTCATTATTTGATCACCATGAACTAGCAGACTATTTAATTTCAGTGGTAACTATTCCATTTACTGGTTTATTTTTATTACTATTTATAGTTGAAGAAATCATATAATTACATAATAATGGATTTTCAAAAATGAATCAAATTTTAATTTCTTGCTTATTAGCAAAAACAGTGTACAAAAAGATTATTGACACACTTGGAAGTAGAGTATATTGTATATGAATACCTAACAGCCAAACATTACTGTGAAGTCAGAAGCGTCAAAGCGTACTTTTGGATATCCATATCAGTGGTTTTAGAGCAGGAAATTTGCAGGTGCATTGGAAGGAAAGCTGTTCCTGTGACCTGTAACAGGATCCTAAGGGAGTGTGGGCTTGGGCTGTGACCCTTCTTCAGCCCTGGTGGCTTTAAGATGGAGGCAGGACAGGCAGCACTGGGGAAGCTCCTATCCCAGCTACCTCAGTACCAACTTTAAAAACTGAGGAATTGTCAAAGATTTATTATAAGTGAAACTATGAAGCATGAGATCTTTTTTACTCTGGGAAGTGAAATCGGTCAGCTTTGAGTTGAATTTTAATAAGCCCTTTACATGAATGAACATTATTTAAGCCACACTGTATCAGCAATGATGGATTTCCATTTTTAGTGTTGAACATGTGTGTATTGTCAATGAGAACTGTTGAAATTATGATAATTACATAGATGAATACTGGGGAGACTCATTATATTCCATAAACTATATATTCCATTATATGCCATAAACCATAAACCATAGTATGCATGGTTTCCTGCAAAGGCTGCCATTTCTTCACCAGACAAGAGAACTGTGGCAGAGCCTCACCGACCACCATGGAGCTTGCCAGGGGATGCTGTTCCCATTGTCGTCTATATTCAGTGATTCCCCCAAAAGAATAAAGAAATTATTCACATTTAGATTTTAAGCTACTTTTATCACCCTATCTAAAATATAGAATTATTTCCATGAAATTTTAAAAGGACTTTGATTTCTTGTCATATCAAATATTATAATACATAATGGTTAACATTGACTTATTCATTTAAAAAATATATATTTAATGTGATTTTTAAATATAAATTTTCTTAAATAATGTTTGGTTAAAATTTTACTTTAGGATTTAAGTGATTTCAATTCAATTATTTCAGTTCTTCTATTTCAGATAAAATAGGATTTTGTAAAACAAGCAAATGGTTTTTTGTGACTGTTTCTTAAATCATATGTGCAGTGAATTTGGAAGGCTTTTAAAATTGTAGACTTTAAAAATTATTTCTTACAATGGAAACTAAACAATTGATCTAAGTAAAAGGATATTATTTTTATGATTCAAGTAGTAACTAGAGCTATTACCAGGTGTCTGTAAAAAGCCTAATATATGATAATAATTTCTTGTTGAAATTATAAAAGAAGTCTTTGATTTCTGTTGATACAACATATGAATTATGGAAAAATTTCAAATCATTCTATAGTTAGCCACATGCATTGGTGCTAGCCATAATATAGACACTCTATATCAGTGAATTACCATTATTTAGAGATTTCAATATATGCTGAATTATCTGTTTATAAACTCTTTGTTGAATGACTTGTTTGATTTTTAGGGGGCAGATGTTAATAGCATCGATTCTGAAGGACGCTCTCCACTTATATTAGCAACTGCTTCTGCATCTTGGAACATTGTAAATTTGCTACTCTCTAAAGGTACTAAGAGGTCTTTGGGAGTACTGCTCAATTTGGTTAGATGAACATTCATTGTGTACCAAATGAACATTCATTGTCTGCCACCATCTATTGTGTGCCAGGCCCTGGGCCAGGTGCTGTGAATACAAAGATAAGCAGAACACTTTTCATGTCTAGAATAATTTTTAGTCCAGTAAGGGAGAAATTTTTGAAAAGATAATTTCAGAACAATAGTAGATAACATTTATAAAGCAATTGTTATGCCCCAGGCATTTGCTGAACATTTTTAATCAACCTTTCAATGTATCAGTCCTATGTGATGTAGGTACTATAACTATCCCCGTTTTAGATTCTAACCTGGGCCTCTGATAAGAAAGAAGCGAGGTGTTGTTCTCTGCTATCCTCTTCTTTCTTTATCTCTAATGTGTCTATATTTATATTTTATGCTTTAAAAGGTAAGGCCTTGTGTACTAATGTATCACATATTTTCTGTATCACTGACACACACAGACACAGAGTAAGGTAAACTCATTTTTAAATATGTTTAGTTTTCTCGTCTAAACACAATTTCCTGTAAACTAAAGGTCAACAATGTTTTAAGTCAAAATTTTTTTGGTAATCCACATAAACAATGCTTTAAATAAATGAATAGAATTTATATTTACATAGTGATTTTTTTTAGGTGCCCAAGTAAATGTAAAAGATAATTTTGGACGTAATTTTTTGCACTTAACTGTACAGCACCCTTATGGATTAAAAAATCTGCGACCTGAATTTATGCAGGTAATGTATATCTATGGATTTCCATTAACTGAGTTGGGTTCAATAGGAAATAAACTAATTTTGTTTATAAATTTTGTTATTATGTAAACTGATTCTGGAATTTTTAAAATGTTTTAAAATAAAGATGACATATTTGAATAGTTACATCAGTGATGGTGGTGGTGGTGGTGAAGATGATAATTTTACTGAGATTGAGCTTTTTATCTTACAAAGGGATTTCATATACAGTAATGTATGATAAAGATACATTCCTAATTAGTTTGATTTTCTTCATTCTTTGACCATTATGATTTGCATTATCAGTGGAAATGTCAAGTATGAGAATCAATTATCAATACTCCACTATCAATTAAGAAAAATTACTAGCATACTTGATTTGCTGAGGAGAGGTTGAAAGCATTGTTTCTGTATTTATATTCACCAGCTAATACTTACTGAATGACTATCACGTGCATATGAAATATACCATATTTTTATCATAAATAAAGTTCAGTATTGTCACAGTCTTTAATAAAGAATCAAAAATACATATGTATTTGAACATTTAAAAAGCAGAATGTTAATTGATAGGCTTAGGATACTCATTTATCATTCATTTTTTATTTGCCATACATATAAAAGATAAAGTAAACCTAATGTTAACATTCAATTCGTTTTACCTAACAGAATATATTAACATGAAGCTGTTGGGTGTTATTTCGGGGTGGGAGGAAATGAGAGGAAGGGCAGAGGGAACCCATGATCAAATATGTTTGAAAAAATGTTAAGTACATTTTCCTATTTGCAGGATCTCTCATATCCTTTAATATGGTAATGTAGATTACATGGAGACAGGGCATTCAACTTCATTCAAATTTATTTTACTCTAGAATCCTTTAGATTTTTTAAGTTTTCGGCTCCAAGGAATATATATTGTCCCTTGTTGAAAAATATTTTCCTACAGAATAGTTTGAAAACCATCAAATTAGCATAATAGCAGAGTTATTTGTATAACATTATTTTTTCTATAGATGCAACACATCAAAGAGCTGGTAATGGATGAAGACAACGATGGGTGTACCCCTCTACATTATGCATGTAGACAGGGGGGCCCTGGTTCTGTAAATAACCTTCTTGGCTTTAATGTGTCCATTCATTCCAAAAGCAAAGATAAAAAGTCACCTCTGCATTTTGCAGCCAGGTAGGAGTCAGTCTAGCAAGGTATGAACATGTCTTCTTTCTCTTTAATATTTGCCTTGAAAATATGAAACCTAATTTTTTCCAAGTTATGGGCGTATCAATACCTGTCAGAGGCTCCTACAAGACATAACTGATACGAGGCTTCTTAATGAAGGGGACCTTCATGGAATGACTCCTCTCCATCTGGCAGCAAAGAATGGACATGAAAAAGTAGTTCAGCTTCTTCTGAAAAAAGGTGCATTGTTTCTCAGGTGAGGATATATGATTGGAGTGTTTATATAGTCTCTTTAATTTGCTATTTTCAGGCTATCTTTTCATTATATTTTTAATTATATTTTCTAACTTTACATCTCACTAAGTACTTTTATCCATTTTATTTTATCATCAAAACACATATAAGTTCAAAAAATACTGAAAGGGAAGTCAGCATTTTTTCCAGCTGACAAAGATTTTGAAGTTTATAGAGTTGAAGAAGCTTGTTCAAGATCACAGAATAGGAGGCTTTGTGTAGACTCTCTCAGAAACTTTGAAATAGTTTCTCATATTCTACCTCATCATGCTGCCATCTTCCTATGTAGATACGAAGTTGTGGTTGTGTATGTGTGTGTGTACATGTACACACACACACACACACACACACACACAAAACATGTAAGTTCAAATACTCTACTTTTCATTCAATCCAATGAATGGTAGACATAAAAATCTCCCTTTAAGTGACAACAGGAGACAGTAAAACATTTCTGAATTTCATTATACTTAAATGAACTCAAGCACAAGAAACAAAACCAAATTAAAATATGGAAGCATAATAAAATATATGGCATAATTAAATGATACTGTGGTAAAAAAGAAAATCCTGAAAACATTTTATAGTGGTTTTTCATTTGGTATTTTACCACAGCAGTATCAAAGAACTTAGTAGGCTAACGTTCAAAAACACATATCCTTACCAGATTATTAATGCCAGCAAAATTGGTGCTATACCTGCAAAAATGAATGTTGTCTCAATTTCTTCTGGTCTACGGGGAAACACCAAACAACTGACCTGCAAAGGAGACCCACTAGACCCAGACTAGACAGTTGTTGCTTAATTCCATCATAACTGAAACAGCAACATGGTTCTTGCACCCTAAAACATCTGCTCACTAGCACTGAAATTAAATAGTGTAGGGAATTTTTTTCTAATTCAAAAAAGGGGATAACTAATATGACAAGTCTTCATTGTCTTTACATCTTGAATTTCTGTGAAAAAGGATAAACCTTTTCAGAAACAATTGGGTAAGCATCTTTGAGAGCACAAGAGGAAAGTATTTCAGACTCGAACTCTTAGAATAGTAAGTAAAACTAAGCTAAGTATCTTATAGCCATGTACTATATTATTAGTATTATTACCAGTAACTATTGACCACAAAGACTAACACCACTTCATAAAGGCTTTTTTTGATACAATGTTCAATGAAAGAGTAAAACAAGATTTTAATTGATGGATATACGTTCATTATAGCTTTGAAAAAATTATGTATGACACAGACACACTAAGTGTACTTCTACCCCAAAGTGTTTGGTAATATGTTTATATACTTTCATATTTTAAAGCACTAAATAAAAAGTAGTGTGAATCACATTAGAAATAAGTTATTTAAGATCACTGAGCTTGAAATTAGCTCATTTATCACAAATGTTTTATAAATATTTAGTTGGCAGATCTCAGTTATACATTTTGTTGTCATCAGATTTACCTAGAACGAACCAAGCAGAATCCCATCCCACTTGTCATCTGTATGCACACATCTTTTCTTAACTCTTTACCAGTGACCACAATGGCTGGACGGCCTTGCATCATGCATCCGTGGGTGGGTACACTCAGACCATGAAGGCCATTCTTGATACTAATTTGAAGTGCACAGATAGCCTGGATGACGACGGGGTATGTACTGTGGTCCTCACACTTACCCAAAATTTCGACATAGCAGAAACTTCCAGTATTGCCAGAAAACCCTCCTAGACACCTTTTACCTTCCTTGTACCTTTTTGTTGGGTGTTTAGCACGTGGACTCCTAAGGTGAAATATGAGTCAAGGGGTGAATGAATGTTGAGGAAAACCCTAGTCTCACAAAGGCTGGTCCACAGGCCATTGTGAGTTGATGGTCAAGTTTTACTCTCTGTTAGGCCCAGATAAATGAAGGCATGAGTGAGTTTTCATTAAAATAAGTGTTGTTTTGAAGTACATTGATTTGAAATGCTGCCCTTTATTGTGCAACTATGTCCTTCCTTCTTTGGGAGAAACTATTGAAATACATATTTGTTCATAAAATGATGGAGATAGAAGATTCTTGTTGCCTTTTCATAAAAAAAAGTCTTTATGGGGGGAAACTAAAAACTGGCAAACTTCTAACAGTCTGTGATTTTTAAAAACTTTTACAAGCTTAGGAAACCCCAAGTCTATAAGCCACTGCTCTCCAAATGATCAATCTCAGGAGTATTTTCTTCTGTGTTCAACCCAACATCTTTACCCTGAAAAGCTTGCCCCTTTGTCCTTGTCGAATCATCCCATTGCAAAAACAACACAAAACAAATGCCTTGGAATTCATTCTCTCTCTCTCTCTCTCTCTCTCTCTCTCTCTCTCTCTCTCTCTCTCTCTCTCCCTCTCTCCCTCCCTCCCTCCCTCCCTCCCTCTCTTTCTTTCTCTCTGTCACACACACACACACACACACACACTTCCCACTCCTGCACACTCACTATAAATTCATTATTTTGAAGCTTGATTCTGAACACCAGTTTTAAATGCTACGTATTTTGCTATTAAATAGTTAGTGTTGCTAAGATTTTTTAAGCAGTTTAGCAGTGAAACAAGGCAGATTAGGCATTGTCATCACATCTTCTGTGTCTGTTTTTCTTCAAAAGAACACTGCGCTTCACTTTGCTGCAAGGGAAGGCCACGCCAAAGCCGTTGCCCTTCTTCTGAGCCACAACGCTGACATAGTCCTGAACAAGCAGCAGGCCTCCTTTTTGCACCTTGCACTTCACAATAAGAGGAAGGAGGTGGTTCTTACGGCCATCAGGAGCAAAAGGTACACTGTCTTCCTGCCCACTGTCATTACGTGTTCTCTGGTGTCGGGGATGATTCGAAGTCTAAGAGAAAATAAGAGAAAAGAAATGAGTTTCAGCCATTAATCAAAATTTTGAAATATCAGTTGTTCACATTACTTTTCAAAAAGTTTTTAATTTTTAGCTTTTTTTTTTTTTTTTTTTTTTTTGAGACAAGGTCTAGCTCTGTCACTTGCAGGCTGGAGTGCAGTGTCGTGATCTCTGCTCAGTGCAACCTCCACCTCCCCGGCTTCAGCAGTTCTTGTGTCTCAGCCTCCCAAGTAGCTGAGCCACCATGCCCAGCTAATTTTTGTATTTTTAGTTGAGACTGGCTTTCCCCATGTTAGTCAGGCTGGCCTTGAACTCCTGAGCTCAAGTTATTTTCCCACCTCGGCCTCCCAAAGTGCTGGCATTATAGACATGAGCCACTGTGCCCAGTCCTTTTTATTTTTAATTAGTGTGGGCAAATAGTAGGTGTGTATATTCATCAGGTACATGAGATGTTTTGATGCAGGCATGAAATGCATAATAATCACATCATGAAGAATGGTAGCTATCCCCTGAAGCATTTATCCTTTGTATTACAAACCAATTGTAGTCCTTTACTTATTTTTAAATGTCAACCTAAATTTATAAATAAATTTTTTGGATGACAACAGGCACCTCTCTGATCTTCAGTTTATATTTCTTTTCTTTTTCTTTTTCTTTTTTTTAGATGAGGTTTCACCATATTGGTCAGGCTGGTCTCAAACTCCTGACCTCAGGTTATCCACTTGCCTTGGCCTCCCAAAATGCTGGGACTGCAGGCATGAGCCACCATGCTCAGCCCAGTTTATATTTCTTTAAAAAATAAAATATGAGTACATAAAACCAAGCTTCACAGTACTCTTGTCAGTCTCCAGGGGTTCAGGCGTGTGTAGTGTCTGGAACCATGTTATTGTCAAGCAAACTTTGCACTGCCCTCCCTGAACTTGCCTGACAGATGCCAATAGAAACCCTAAAACTGGATGCTGGTCAAAATATTCCCCAAAGTAAATACACGTGGTTATCAGTGTCCTATAATGGGATGTCTCTTAACACGTAATCTTTATGGTTTCTAAACCATACTCCAAGGAATTTTAATGATGAAGTTAGAGGATAGTTTTTCTTGCTTCTCATAATAACTTTATAATATCACTTTCTATAATAATCACAGATAGATAAGCACAAGGGCCCAGTGTCACCTAGTTGTGGACACAGAGTGAACAATCTCATATTCAAGGCCAATCAAGTCAGTGTGTTTTTGAGCATGAGCAGTCTAAAAACATCTCCTACTAATCATCCCTTTAAAGCACATTTTAATAAAAGTGTTCAACCCAAACTTTTCTTTTGATAATGTAGATATACTAGATGGACTTTATTGATAGAGTGTAACAGAAAATTAGATAGAATCTAGAAGATGAATGGGTTCTTCTTTGCCTCCTGCCATAGATTTAGTTCCTCTTTGGTATGGTAAGCACCTTCTTACCATGTTCAATTGGATGGTGATGAAGAAAATGTGCAAAATTGGAATGTTCTGGCAGAGGCTATGCTTATCAATGTACTTTACAGGTGTTAGTTTGTAGTTTAACTCAATACAGCATGTACACATGTATTAGTTATTAAATTTGGGCCCAGTATTACACTGATGGTGTAGGTATGTGAATGTGGAATCTCTACCCAATGTGGTCAGCTCTATAAGTACTTACCATTTCATGCCTTCAGGAGAAAAAGAAGATATAGTCCTAGCTTCTTTGAATGGCATTTAGATAAAGAGACAGAACAATGATTATAACAGCCATCCTGAAATTTGTCCACATTCCTAATGTCCAATAATGGACAAGAATCCATTTTACTGAGTTGATCTTGATTTACATGTTGGTTGCATTGAAACCAAGGGTAAGCATTGCAGTTCATTAATAAGCTTAAGTTTAGGTTTCTCCTAAAGAAATAATCTTGAGTTTTAGCTGTTGTACAGAACAGAAGGATGACCTGTGATTATCTTACTTATTTATTTTTTACAGATGGGATGAATGTCTTAAGGTTTTTAGTCATAATTCTCCAGGCAATAAATGTCCAATTACGGAAATGATAGAATACCTCCCTGAATGCATGAAGGTAAACTCTCTAAAGCAAAATTCTTCCTGTGTTTATGCCTGGCATATATGATATGAGGATTTATTGTTGTAATCACAACCTAATAATAATAATAATTTCCATCTTTAAATAAAGCTTCTCATTTTCCATAGGCTATAAGGGAAGTTAGATGATAACTATTTAAAGAAGGCCTTCTTGGATTAAAGAATCCTACTAGTTATCATGTGTAATACAGGATAATATGATAAATTTTTTATTTAAACAATCTACACCTATAACAGAGACTAGGAACTGGTGTTTGCTGGCTGAATAAAATCTTCATATATGTTTTGCTTGGCATGCATGCTATTGTTGTTTCAAATTTGCATGAATTGCTAATATTTGAAATCAGGATGCTTTCCTGCTTTCCTTAAGGAGGAAAGTAAGATATACCAGGAGGCAGTAAGATATAGTGACACAGGGAATAAAAGACCAGATTTGGCACCTTTTGGAGGTCCTGGGATTTAATCCTCGTGCTGCCTTTTGCTGTGTTGTTTTAGGCAAGTCATTTCACTTCTTTGAGCATTATTTTCCATTTTCTTTATTTCTAAAATAATGATGCTGATACTGATCTTACAAAGCAATTACAAAAATGGGGGTAAATATATAAAGTTCTAAGGATAATGGTTCATACGTAATATACCTCCTACTGATTTAATACTGCTTATGTGGTTATTAGTACTACTAGCACTTACTGTTTTTATTTATAGAACAAAGACTTATTGTGCACTAAATATTTTGGGCATTTTTTCTTTATGATACCTAATGAAAATTGGAGCCAGACTAATATACAAATGGCATACAGAGTAACTTTTTAGGTGCCTGCATGCATCAAAGGACACATAAATGCTCAGGGTTGAGAACAATCTCAAACTTTCTTATTCGATAATTACAGTTGTTAAAGTTTGTCTTAATGAATAATCAGAGATACAGATTTTTACAGAATGCTTCCTACAACATTATTTATAATTATAAAACAATGTTGGAAACATAAACAGTTGAAATTATACCAAAATGTTAATAAGAATGATCTGTTATGGAATTAGGATTAGTTTTTAATTTCTTCCTTATATGGCTATATTTTCTAGATAATTGTCTATAATGACTTTATTTTCATACTGTGACAACTTTTCAACAAAGTAAATGAACTTAAATGTTTTAATTTAGCCTGACATCATGCATTTGAATTACTTCCACAACACTTCTGAAAAGTTCCTCTTGAAACCTCCGCAGCCCTCACCCAAGGCAGCCCATCCTTTATTTTGCTTATGTTGATTACTACGAAGTTTTCAAACCGTAAAAACCAGACCTGCCTGTTTCTACCTTGCACAGTACTACTAGCTAGTCTTGTCTTTATTTTTCATGATGCTTTTTGTGGCCCCCAGTACTGCCATCCAGTCACCAATAGAGCCTTCCTTGTAATTTTCTTAGTCCCTTTGAAACCTGAGACCAGCCAGGGCCCTATTTATTCCCTCTGGATATAGTTTGACCCTCTACTCTCGAGTTATGCAGGTGGGGTTCACCAGATACCCAAGGAGGTCATAGATGCATTGATGGGGCTATAAGAGGTATTGTGTCCAGTCCTGGTTCCAAGAGAGCATCCTGGCTAAGTGGTATTTCTTTCTCAGGATCATAAATTTGGACCACTGGATTTGGGGTGTCTTGAAATGTTTATGCAGCTCCACAAAAACATTTGTTCCCACACACCATAGGGGTGGCTCTAATGATCCCATAAGTGTTCTTTCCCTGAGTTAAGTATCTAGAGGGTCTTCATCTATTTCTCATTATAACATCTATCCCCCACTATCCTGTGCACCCCTCTCTAAACACATACTCTCTCCATGTTGCTTAGCAAATGAGTTATGGAAGCAAGCACATTACTCCAGACTGGGGAAATTCAGAAGATAGAACTTAAACTATAAAAGACTCCATTGTTAGGATGAAACATCTTGATTAGGAACAATAAGTTGTCACTGTAAGGTACTGAACAAAGGAAGTAGATTGACTTTGCTTTACCCCAACTACTTGGGATCAGAAGCGTGTGTGTGTGTGTGTGTGTGTGTGTGTGTGTGTGTGTGTATGCAAATATTCTGAAATCCAAAACACTTCTGATCCCAAGTGTGTGTGTGTGTGTGTGTGTGTGTGTGTGTTTGTGGAGGGGAGAGAGAGAGAGAGAGAGAGAGTATCATAAGGATACCTTAAAAGCATAGTCTGAAGGTAATTTTATATAATATTTGTAATAATTTTTATATAAAATTTGTAATAATATTTCTACATAAAACAAAGTTTGTATTAAGTACTTATGTATAGAATTTTCCACTTGTGGCAATATGTGAGTGCTCAGAACATTTTGGATTTTCGAGTATTTCGATTTCATATTTTCAGATTAGGGTTGCTCAACCTGTAGTCTATATATCCTCTAAGCCCAGGAAGACATCAAATCTTAGGCACAATTAGTAGAATATCTCTTACCCAGATTTTAGTATATGCAATTTTATTCTCAAGCACATGTATTTGTCTGAATCACTTGGTATTTCTGAGGCACGCAGAGGTATTTGTAACATTTTGTATTTTAAACTTTGTTTCTGAATGACATATATTATAATTTACTCTTGAGATGCAAGAAGCCAAGGAAAGGAAATGTGTCTTGTGTGTTATTTTAGAAATAGGATAAAATCCTTCCTAATATCTAGTGTACTGCCCAGTATCTTACCTAGATTTTCTGTTTCAAAGGTACTTTTAGATTTCTGCATGTTGCCTTCCACAGAGGACAAGTCCTGCAGAGACTACTATGTAAGTTCATTTTATCATCATAATTTGAAATTTGTTTAGTTATAATTCTTTGAAAAATATTAAAAATACAATACTGTTACTATTGCTCTGTAATCTACTGTAAGTATTGGTCTCATTTATCATGTTATTATATTATCTACCTGTGAGAGAATTTTTCTATTTTCTCCTCAGTTTTCCCCTAATATTTTAATAGTTTCTAATGGCATCATTTAGTGTCATTTCTAGTCTTTATATTTCCTTGGGTAGTTCTTCCTTAATAATGAATATCTAAGAGATCTAAATGGTTTTTGAGAATTACTCTCTTTCCATGCCTGTAAGATGTAAAGCGATTGAATAACAGTCTTTCGGTATATTTATTTTTAGAAATAATATTAAATAACAACTTCTTTTCTCCACTTGAAATAACTCAACTTTGTTCAAATCACTTAATTTTCAGCAGAATTGTAAACTTGTGTATTTTATTTTTCAAGAATGATTTTGGGGGTTCTATACTTGACTAACTGTACTTTTTAAAATATATATATGTATCTTCTACAGATCGAGTATAATTTCAGATATCTTCAATGCCCATTAGAATTCACCAGAAAAACAGCACCTACACAGGATATTACTTATGAACCTCTTACAGCCCTCAATGTAAGTTCAGTGTTTTCATTATCTAAGTAGTTTCTAGCTCGGTTCTAAAATGTTTTGATACAGTAGTCTAAAACATTTCAATACTTGATGGATGGAGAGAATTCCAGTTTTATAGTTCTATGTCTCTGTCTGCCATGTGATGCAGCCTTCTATTTTTTAATAAAGAAAGCAATCTTTTTTTTTCAATTGCTATAAAGTTCTACACTTCATTTCTAATGGTCACTTAAGGCCTGCTCCAATACAGAATAAAATAAACCATGGACAACACAGGTAACACTTGCCACCTCTATCCACCTATGTATTCAAGAGTTTTCTCCAGCGTAAACCACAGGAAAATGCAAGGGGTGATATTTCACAGCAACAGCTTCTAATTTCAGCCAGCTGCTGGGATCCAAGGTAAAGGCTGACCATTCAGAGGTTCTTAGATCTTAGATTCCAGAGGAATCACCCAATTTGAAGTAGGCTTTGAAGACACAACATTAACTTGAATTTCTCAAGAACCTTTTTAAAAAGAAGCTATTATTTAAAAGATGCTTTTATATTTCTAGCCAGTGAAGCAATGAAAATCATGCTTTTGATCCCTTTCAGTCTAAATCAAAGGTCTCAAACTGAAATAACAACAGAGAAAATAGTAACAGATGAGTAACTTAGGCTTCTGGTTAAAAGGAGAGTGACTACTAGTTCAACAAATCATTGCCATGTGGCAATAACAGCCTACACTTATGTAAATACTGGCAACAAATTAAAATTGTGTCCATGCAAAACAAAACATATTTAAGGACTGGATTTGCAAATTTTGGTCTAGATTTGTGGTATCTCATATGGGAGGCAGTAGTCATATGTGGCTTCCTAAATTAAAAAGTAGTTAAAATTACATAAAGTTAAAAATGTATTTTTCAGTCACACTAGCCACATTTAAAGTGCTCAGTAGCCTATTTGCCTTGCAGCTCTCATATTGCACTACACATGTAGAAGACATTTTCATCATTGCAGAAAGTTCTATTGGACAACACTGCTCTAGTTCAATGAAGAATTTTCATTCACTTTCAGTGAATTCATTTCTCTACATTGAAGCCTTTGGTGCAGACCATGGCAGCAGCCATCACCCAAAGTTAAACCTACAAGGCTTACTGAGTACTTGGAGTGTAAAGGATGCAGACTCATGGGGATTTTATGCTCTAAACAGTGGTGATGGCAACTGACTCACCTTTGCTGTAAGCTCACGTTAGCTCTCCTTGAGTATGTTATATTTTGCTATCAATATAGTTCATAATCGATAACCCAGTGATCTAACAGTAACTACACTATAGCTATACTTAAAAAATTTGTTGCATATGTACATTTTTAAATTATAATTTAAAAAAATAGATAATACTTCTATTAGAAAGAAAATGTATGTATTTTTGTCTCCATTATCAGAATAAGAATAGGAGGAAATAAGATCTATGTAGCATATAAAAAGAAAGAGACAATATATAACAATGGGAAAATTATAATTTAAATAAAATAGGTTCACTTAGATAAATGCAATGCACTAGGTACCAAACCAGCATGTGATTTTATGACGCCTTAATAGCTTAGGAAACCTTGCTTTAGTTATAAATGAGTTCAGTAGGGCTGTTCAAGAAGGCAGCTGGCCTGATGAAAAATTATTGTGCATAGAAAATTTGTAAGTCTAGATGGACCAAATAGAGAACATAAATCAGATGCTGAGATTAAGACAAACTGGAGTCAGTGAGAAGCTAATTCATTAATGGTGCATCCAAGAATAGAGCTACTGTAGAAAGTGTAAAGTCTGATTTACACTTTATTTGGGAGATATTTAAACTCACAATGTACTTGCATGCCTCAAAGGGTAGATTTGTTGTATTATTAGTTTAAAAGCAGAGTTGCAAGATTTCAGAAACATAAGAGGATTGTTTTAATGAAGACACATGGAAAACAAATTTCTGTATGTGTCTCTAGTATGGTGTTTTAAAATACAATTAATAGTAACATTTTGAATTACTCTCACAAATATTTTTCCATATTTTTTATTTTAGCTTGAAGAAACCATTAATTTTCAATGGAAAAAAGTCAATTGTGCATGGAAATTTAGATGAGGTTTCAAAAACAATAGTTAGATCCTGCCAGGTGCCACCCCCACCCCACCCCAGCCAGATGGCTATATATGTAGCTTTATGGGCTCCACTGAGCATCTAGCTGATAATGAATATTTGCAACAAGGAGTTCTTTAGTTCCCCCAGAATATTGTGTACAAATATATCTCAATTACTTTTTAAATGGTTGGGATAAAAATAAATTAAAAAAAAAAAAAGGTTAACCTGGAAATATTCCATTGTTGTTGTCACAGTGGTAGTTTATAAACTGCAATCTGGCTGCTTGAATCAGAATTATTGTGGTTCTTGTGAAAATGAAGTTTCCTAAGGCCCATCTTAGCCCTACTAACCAGTAATTCTTGACGTTAGTCCTAATAATAAAAAATTTTAAATAAGCTTCTGAAGACTGGGTGTGGTGGCTCACGCCTGTAATCTCAGTACTTTGGGAGGCCAAGACAGGCAGATCACCAGATCAGGAGAGATGGAAACCGTCTGGCCAACTTAGTGAAACTCCATCTCTACTAAAAATACAAAAATTAGCTGGACATGGTGGCTCATGCTTGTAATCCCAGCTCCTCAGGAGGTTGAGGCAGGAGAATCACTTGAACCAGGGAGTCCGAGGTTGCAGTGAGCTGAGATCATACCACTACACTCTAGCCTGGTGACAGAGTGAGACTCCGTCTCAAAAAAAAAAAAAAAAAAAAAAAAAAAGAAAAGGAAAAGAAAAAAGGACTTTGAAAAGAATTTTATGAACACTAAGATTAAGGGAATCTAATGCAGTGCTGATAAAAACTAAAAACTATAGTATAAGGTTTTTCAAAATGTAGGTGGGTGTTTAATGCAAAAACTAGAAGTTGTTTGATAGAATAATTTTGGGAAGTACAAAGTTAATAGAAGGAAGCTAAAACTAGAAATTCCAACTTCTATCTAAAAGTTATCTAGAAAGATGAACATCTTTAAAATCAGAGAGAAAGAAAATTAAAGGATAATGTCTAAGAATTTTCTAGAAATGAAATATATAATTCATCAAATTAAAAAATATACTTCCCCAAGGGCTAAGAAGACCATCTTGGCTGCATCATTTTTAATTATAAAATGTGAAACAATAGTAGTATTAATAAGGAAAGGTCTCAATAAACTATATCCAAATAATGGAATATTAAGCAGTATTTAAAAACAATGTTCTTGATGAATCTTTATATAACATTGATATGTTTCTAGGTTGAATAAGCAAATTGAAGACATAGAGTAAAAACATAAATACAAAATAATTATCCTTTTTCTCTATAACTACATGTGAGTTTTTGAAAATGGATGTTTATGTATAGAAATATAGAAAAGGATTTGGAAGGACACACAAATTAGCAATGGTGATACTACTGAGGAAATGGAGTTCTGCCCAGAACTGAGGCTTGGATGTGGTGACAACTATAGCCTATTCCAATTTTTCAGTAAAGAAGAATTTATTTGGGTATTTCTTTTTTTTTTTTTTTTTCAACTTGTGCTAAAAGCACAAAGTTAAAATTACTGTCTTAACTGTTTTCAAATGTATAGTTCAGTAGTGGTAAGTATTTTCACATTGTTACTCAAGAGATGTCTAGAATTCTTTCATGTTGCAAAGTGAAACTCTGTACTTATTAAACACTAACTTCCCCTCATCTTTCTCCCAGCCCTTGGCAACCACCCTTCTACTTTTTGTTTCTATGAGTTTTCTCCACCTTAGGTACTTCATATAAGTGTAATCTTACAGTATTTGTACTTTTGTGACTGCCTTATTTCAATTACTGTAATCTCCTCAAGGTTCATTCATGTTGCAGCATGTGGTAAGACTTCCTTCTTTTTTAAAGCTGAATAATATTTCATTGTATGTATATACCACATTTTCCTTATCTGTTTGTCTGTTGAGGACATTTGGATTGCCTTCCCTTTCTGACTATTGTGAATAATGCTATAGCAAACAGGGGTATACAAATACCTCTTCAAATCCTGCTTTAAACTCTTCAGATACACATTTAGAAATAGGCTTGCGGGATCATGTGGCGATTTTATTTTTAATTTTTTGAGGAACCTCAATACTGTCTTCTATCATGGCTGTCTCATTTTACATTCCTACCATTAGGGCACAAGAATTCCAGTTTCTCAGCATGCTCACCAATACTTGTTGTTTTTTGTTCTTTTGATAGTGACCATCCTAATGGATGTGAAGTGGTATCTCATTGTGGTGTTAAAGTGCATTCCCTAATAATGAACTGTGTTGAGAATCTTCTCATTCAATAGTCGTAAGAAATAGTGCTTATTGACTATTCATATGTTTCCTTTGGAGAAATGCCTATTTGTAGCCTTGACCCATTTGTAAATTGGGTTATTTATTGTCTTGTTGAATTGCAGGAGGTCCTTATGTATTCTGGATATTAACTTCCTATAAGATATATAATTTGCAAATATTTACTCCCATTCCATAGGTTGCCTTTTCACTTTGGTCATTGCTTCCTTTGCCTTGTAGACATTTTTAACTATGTATAGTCCTATTTGTCCATTTCTGCTTTAGTTGTCTGTCCTGTGGTATCATAGCCAGTAAATCATTCTCTCTTTTTTCCTTAATTAGTTTAATAAAATTTCGTTAATTTTGTTTATCTTTTCAAAAAACCAACTCTTGGTTTCATTGATTTTTTTATGTTGTTTTTCTATTCTCTATTTCATTTATCTCTGCTCTAATCTTTATTAATTTCTTCATTTTGCTAATGTTAGGTTTAGTTTGTTCTTTATTTCCTTGAGTTTTATAGAATTATAGATTTGAGATCTTTCTTCTTTTATAACCTAGGTGTTTACCATCATAAACTTGCCTCTTAATATTGCTTTAGTTGAACCCCATACATTTTGGTATATTATGTTAGTATTCATTTGTCTCCAGATATTCTCTAAATTTCTCTTTTATTTTTTTCTTTGACCTATTTACTGTTTAAGAGTGAGTTGTTAAGCTCCTGCATGTTTTTTGATTTTCCTATTTTCCTCCTGCTTTTGATTTCTAGTTTTATTCCACTGTAGTGAGGAGGATATTTTATATGATTTCAATCTTTCGAAATATTTAAATACTTGGTTTGTGGCCTAATATGTGGTAGTCTATCTTAGAGAATGTTCTAAGTGTGCTTGAGAAGAATGTTTATTCTTCTGTTGTGTCAGAGGATGAACTATTCTGTATATGTCTGTTAGGTAAAGTGGTCTATGCTGGTGCCAAGTCTTCTGTTTCCATGTTGATCTTCTGTTTAGTTGGTTCATCCATAACTGAAAGTCAGGTAGTAAAGCCTCCTACTATTATTGTTTTGCTGTTTATTTCTCCCTTCAGTTCTATATAAATTTGCCCCATATTTTGGGGGGCTCTAATGTGATGTGTGTATATATTTATGATTGTTGTATCTTCCTGGTGAGTTGACCTTGTTATCATTACATATTGTCCTTCTTTGTTTCTTGTCACTGTTTTTGTCCTAAAGTTTATTTTGTGTGATGTTAGTATGCCTGCTTCTTTTCACTTGAGGTTCTCATTTGCATAGAGTATCTTCTTCCATCCATTTACTTTCAGCCTGTGTTCTTATATCTAAAGCGAGTCTCTTGTAGACAGCATATAGTTGAATCCTGTGTTTCATCCAGTCAGTCAATCTTTGTATTTTAATAGGAGAGTTTACCACTTTATCTTTTTTTTTTTTTTTTTTTTTTTTTTGAGACGGAGTTTCGCTCTTGTTACCCAGGCTGGAGTGCAATGGTGCGATCTCGGCTCACCACAACCTCCGCCTCCTGGGTTCAGGCAATTCTCCTGCCTCAGCCTCCTGAGTAGCTGGGATTACAGGCATGTGCCACCATGCCCAGCTACTTTTTTGTATTTTTAGTAGAGATGGGGTTTCACCATGTTGACCAGGATGGTCTCGATCTCTCGACCTCGTGATCCACCCGCCTCAGCCTCCCAAAGTGCTGGGATTACAGGCTTGAGCCACCGCACCTGGCGCTACCACTTTATCTTTAAAATAATTACTGACAAGAAACAACTTACTATTGCCATTTTGTTAATTGCTTTTAGTATGTGATTGCTTTTTTGTCTCTTTTCCCCTGTATCTCTGGTGCTGTAGCAAGTCATGATACTGGGACACTGCCTAGTATCTGCCGGTGACACAGTATCTTCTCTGGTGCTAGACTAAGTCCCACTGATCTACTTTGTTATCAGTGATCCCTTCCTGGCACCCATTAGTGTCAGAGCTTATATTCAGGCAAGATAAAAATCATTCCATTGGACAGCCCCTTAGAATTCAGAAGTCAGTGGATATGTTCCACTCTTTTCTTTCTCTTTCCAGGGAGAAGGCAGGATTTGGGAGTTTTCTTCCAATGTGATTTGCCAAAGGGAAGAGCTCTCGCAAGTAATGGCCATGAATTTTCCTATTGTCTTTGATATGGTTCTTTTTGGCTACATGCTCACCTTGGGTACAGGAACCCCTTAACTAGGTTCTAGATTGCTTGCTCACAAAGGAAATGGTCTGTGTATTGTTTTTAATTCCATGTCTCTGTGGAGGAAGGGGGACCTGGGACTTTATATTTTGCTACCTTGCTGGCATCAGTCCCTCTATTTATATATTTCTTGAATAATTAAAAGCTGATTTTTAAGTAGATACAAGTAGTCACAAATAACTCTTATGAAAACTTATGATCTTGATTAATTCAATTTAACAGCTATATATGTGTATTCTACTGCATAAAATCCTTCTAGAAAGATAAGGCTGAATTTCTTCAAGGACAGAATGAGGGAGTAACTCCTGCTAATTTATCTTTGCTATCCTTTCCTGTTGTAACCCTGTATTAGATTAAAAAGCTTATGCTAGGTCAAGAAGTCAGAAATCTAAAGAGACAGACTGAATCAAATAATTGTAATTGTACAAAATGGTTCTTTCTAATTTGTTTTTTAAAAATGTTGATCTAATTTTTATTTTTTCAAATGTTCTAAAATAAGTGTTACTATTGCAATATCAAAACAAAGTTCTAAAACTAGACAATAAAAATATTATTTTATACTCAGTAGTTAATTATGATTGTTTTTTATTATTATTTTTATTTCTCAGGCAATGGTACAAAATAACCGCATAGAGCTTCTCAATCATCCTGTGTGTAAAGAATATTTACTCATGAAATGGTGGGTATTGAATAGTATTTCTTGTTTAATGCTGTGCCTATTGGATCTATTAAAAAGTCTTAAAAACAATTATATTTTAATGTTTTAGCTTTTGTTATTTTAATGTTTTTTACTTTGAAAAAATAAGGCAAATATTGGTATTAAAAATTCTGGCATTGTTTATCATTAAATGAAATATTTGGAGGGTGGGAGGGAATTATTATATAAGACGTGAAGAAGCTCTTTAGAGCCTACAATTTATCTGTAACATTAAATGAAATAGTTGGGGCATGGAAAGGAATCATTTTATAGAACATGTAGAAATATCCTGGACCCTGAAATTTAGTTGACAATGAAGAATGAGGTGTGTTCTAAAAAGAGCATTCCTATTGCTGTCAGATTATATGGGTTAACAGATCAGCTCTTTCATTAGTTTTTAAGTCATAATTTGCTTAGAACTTAAGATTAGTTCTCTGAATATGAAAAAAAGTGAATTAGAAGATGTACTTCATTCTAAGCTTCAGTGAATTTATGAACGAGATTTCTGAAACAGATTATAACCGCTTTTCCCCCAGGTATCTTACATAAATATTTTTGTTTAAAATGACTCAATTCTGGTTTGCTTATATTTTTGTAGGATGGCTTATGGATTTAGAGCCCATATGATCAATTTAGGATCTTATTGTCTTGGTCTCATACCTATGACCTTTCTCGTTGTCAATATAAAACCAGGAATGGCTTTCAACTCAACTGGAATCATTAATGAAACTAGTGACCATTCAGAAATACTAGATACCACGGTAATTTCACATTTTAACTTTTTAAAATAAAGGATTATAAAAATGTATTTCTTCTTAAGACTACTAAACTTATAATAAATCAGACATATCAGGACTTTAGTATAAATAGTCTGTAAGAATTCATATATGATACTAATTTCTCCTAAAATCCTTTGTGGAAGGAGAGGAAATGTAAACAAACAGGTCAACTAATGAATTTGTAAACTAATTTAAAAGGAATTGACATGTGTTAGATGCTAGCTTAAATACTGAGGTGTAAAACTTTAAAATACGTGTCCAAAAAGGCAGATTTGTGGTTGCCAGGGACTGTGGGACATGCGAAATGAGGTGAGATGCTTTGTGGATATGTGGTTTCCATCCAAGATGATGAAAAAGTTATGGAACTAGATAATGGTGATGGTGGTATAATACTGTGAATATACTTAATACCACTGAATTATATATTTTAAAATTTAAATGTACAGGTAAAATTTAAGACTTTTAAAATGTAAGTTTTATGTTACATGTATTTTGCCACAATAAACAATTTTGTATAGGTCTACAGATTCTTATTCTTTTAAAATTCAATTAGCAAATTTTCAACTTCACTTAACAAGGACATTCTGAAATAAGGGCGTGTTCGCCTCTAGTAAATGATATGAGTACTGGCATCAGTTAAATTTTCTGTTTAAGTCAAAGTGGACAACATATAGAAATTAAGTAAAAAAAAAAAAAAAGAACCCAGGGAGGGGAGCATCACACACTGGGGTCTGTAGGGAGGAACTAGGGGAGGGACAGCAGGGGGTGGGGAGTTGGGGAGGGATAACATGGGAAGAAATAGCAGATACAGGTGATGGGGAGGAAAGCAGCAAACCACATTGCCATGTATGTACCTGTGCAACAATCTTGCATGTTCTTCACATGTACCCCAAAACCTAAAACACAATAAAATATATATTTTTAAAAAAAGAAAATTAAGTGAAAATTATAGAAATGTTGAAGTGTTTTATATTCCTCATAAGTATATGTCTTATCCTTCTTTGTTTTAGGATTCATATCTAATAAAAACTTGTATGATTTTAGTTTTTTTATCAAGTATATTTGGGTATTGCAAAGAAGTGGTCCAAATTCTCCAACAGGTATGTAATACATTTTATATCTCTAAAGTTGTAAACATTTTAATATGCAGAACATAAATTAATTGACAAGCCATTACTTGAGATATTAAGTCATAATAAAATTACATAGCTTGACTAACTTATAGATTAGAAATACCAAGCATAACTGTTTCAAAATGCAGAAATCACATGATTTTAGGTAGTCACTGTATGTTTGATATATCTATGAGAGATGTTCCACTTTTACTGGTCCATAAAGATCTGTGTGGCTACAAATGGTCATTATGAGTGACCTTTCTGTCTTTTCTCTTACATAGTTTTAAAGATTTTGCTAACATAATAGTTAGATTTTGAATTTGATAATTTTAAATGTAAATGTTTATAAAGAAGTTATCTGGCTTAAGACTCCATTTCAAATGGGTCATTCTTTGAATTCCTTTACTAACACAAATGCTTTTCTTGATTAAATAAACCTCCAAGTTTTAATACAATTTTGGAACTTTTTATAGCAAAATTTTTACTTTATATTCTACCATTTAATGAGTGAGCCAAGTTCAGATCACAACCAAGTATGTAAATTATCTGCAGCTTGCCCTTCCTTTGGTTCATAAATGGATCCTTCATTTCTCAGTATGGAGGTTGAAAGTCTTTTATACTTCTTTTTGTATATGTTCATGAATGTTATTTTTATAAATCATATATCTTTTATGCAACACCTCACTTTCTGTGAAAATTTTCTTTGTTGCATCATGTAAGCACATATATGTTTGCATTTATAAATTTGATAAAATACTTTGCATTTTTAAAATATTATACATTACAAGTACTTTGATATAGATACTTTAAGAAATTTGTCACAATTCTGAGAGTTACACTGTAATGTTTCATTTTACCTTAAGCAATTTAAGGCATATTCCTTAATCTTTCTTGCCATTATTTTCATTTTCCAGAAATGAAAATTGCAGATTGTAGTTTAAATTGAGCTATAAAGTTATATAAATTTGCTTTCAGATTTGGTCTCTACATTTTCTTATTGATATTTAAGTAGTCTATTGGAAATTTAATACCCAATACATAAAAAGTTTGAAAATATCATTATTATTTGTTTTTATTTCCTAATTAAGTCTTAGTGCATGTCTCAAACCTTCTTAGACAAGCTTTAGTTCATAAAGATAGCTACACATTCATGTTCTTATACAGGTAGAAAGGCCTCAGGAATTACTAAACCAACTTGCAATCCCCAAGAAGTTTTCTTAATATGAAGTGGACTCCACAGGGAAAACCCAGCAATTTGTAGGATTTCCTTATGCATAATTCCCAGAACACCAGGTTAACAGAGGACTCTGGGACATCTCCAACCCCGATCCATACCCCAGGGGCTCTGAAGTCAATCCAGGATGGCATAATGTTGCTCCTTGGTCCTAAACTTCTCTCCAGATGGCTGTAAAGCTAGAAAAAGTTTATTACTGGGTACATGTATATAGCCATCCATAGATGCTAGGTCACTATATGTGATAATTTTTTATTCTTTTCTACCACAGAAAAGGAATTACTTTATGGATATAAACAATATTATCGAATGGATTATCTACACAACAGGCATCATTTTTGTGCTGCCCTTATTCATTGAAATACCAGCTTATGTGCAGTGGCAATGTGGAGCAATAGCTATTTACCTCTATTGGATGAACTTTTTATTGTATCTTCAAAGGTAAAACAAGCTTGAATAATTTCCACATCCTTTAAGCATTTTTAATATCAAGTGAAAAACTGTTATAAGTGGTATAAAGTTAAAACTGGATTACTCCTTTTCCAGTTGTTTCAAAATGTGAAGAACTTTTTTATATTCTGTTAAGGGAAAGCTGGAGCATAGTTTCAGAGTTCAGAAGGTAGAACAGGGTTTCACAAACTTGGCACTCTTGAACTTTATGGCCAGATAATTTTTTTTCCTCCTCCTCCTCCTCCTCCTCTTCTTCCTCCTCCTCCCCCTCCCTTTCTTCTTTCTCCTTCTTCTTTCTCTCCTCCTCCTCCCTCTTTTTCTTCTTTCTTCTTTCTCTTTCTTGTTTCTCCTTCTTAAGAACTTTCTTCTTTCTCCTTCTTCTTCTGCTTTCTCCTTTTGCTGCTTTCTCCTTCTTCTGCTGCTTTCTCCTTCTTCTGCTGCTTTCTTCTTTCTCCTTCTTCTTCTTTCTCCTTCTTTCTTCTTCTTTCTTCTTTCTTCTTCTTCTTTCTTCTTTCTTCTTCTTTCTTCTTACTTATTCCTCTTTTTGTGGAGAGAGACTGTCTTATATATTGTAAAATACTTGCCAGCATTCCTAGCTCCTGTCTTCTACCCACTAGATACCAGTAGCATCCACCCCACTCCAGTTTTCACAATCAAAAATGTATGCAGACAATGCCAGATGTCCAACTCATGTGGTGTGTGCCCTGTATTAGGTGCATTCCGGTTTATGAACTCAATCTCTGCATAATCCAGCATGCAATTTCTCTCTAATTTCTTCATTAAGCATTCGGTAACTTTTTTATATATATTAAGAAGCTATTATTTTTCTCTCCTACTTCATTGAAGTAATGAGTCATCAAGTGGTACAATGATTTATGATAACACTAGGGCATGGCATGGTGACTCATGCCTATGATCCTAGCACCTTGGGAAGCTAAGGCAGGCTGACACTTGAGTCCAGGAGTTTGAGACCAGCCTGGGGATGATGCATGCCTGTGGTCCCAGCTACTCAAGAAGCAGAGGCAGAAGATCACCTAAGCCTGGAAAATCAAGGCTGTAGTGAGCAATGATAGCACCACTGCACTCCAGCTTGGGTGACAAAGAAAGACCATGTCTCAAAAAATAATAATAGATAACATTAATAATGAAAATAAAAGCAAAAATAATTTGACTAACAGCTTGAAAATTAAGAAATGACTATTCAATTAATTCTTATGTTTTCTTTTTCAATGTAACTGGCGTCAATGATCTCATCTGTGAAATCTAATACCTGATTTAATACCTAATAAATATTGTCAGTGAATGAATAAATTCTGACTGTAAAAGTGAATAAATTTTTTTTTAATTTTTATAGATTTGAGAATTGTGGAATTTTCATTGTTATGCTGGAGGTAATTTTGAAAACTTTGTTGAGGTCTACAGTTGTATTTGTCTTCCTTCTTTTGGCTTTTGGACTCAGCTTTTATGTCCTCCTGAATTTACAGGTAACACAGTTGTGTCAGTAGTTGATTTTGTCACTGTGAGTTATGGAAATATATATTTATACTGAAATATAAACAGTCTAGAAAATTCATAATTACATAAAACAGTATTTGAATAGTTTGCTATATCTTTCAAATGACTTTTATTGCAAAGAAAAAGTATAGTCTCGTTAAGTAATTTTCTCCATTGTAAAAAAGTTCATGTACAATGCAGATGATTTATTATTTATGCAGTTAACATATTTTCGATAAATATAATTTTTATCATTCTACCTCCTGGAAACACTTTGCATTGTATACACTTTGTATTTCATTTGTACCTCACCATCTGCTTTCAGGATGCCTACAGTTCTCCATTGCTCTCTATAATCCAGACCTTCAGCATGATGCTAGGAGATATCAATTATCGAGAGTCCTTCCTAGAACCATATCTGAGAAATGAATTGGCATATCCAGTTCTGTCCTTTGCACAACTTATTTTCTTCACACTATTTGTCCCAATTGTCCTCATGAATTTGCTTGTAAGTAGTTTTTTCTTGTATTGTCTTTTTGTTGATCATTTGAAACGTTTCATAATGATGATTATTTTTAACCTCTTTAACCTCCCTCCACTGGGGAGATGAGAAAGTGTCTACTATATATTCATTCAACACTCATTTGGTACCTGGGGAGCACCAGGCACATCAAGAGGCTCAGGGCGTGCAAAGATGCCTGCACTTGGCAAATACTGAGAATCTACTAAATGCCAGGAACTATTACAAGTTCTGAGAAACACTGGTAAAGAAAGCAGACCAATATTCAGTCCCAGTGTGATTACAAACTAGTCAGGAAGTTAGGTAATAAACAAATAAATATGTAGCATGATGTTATGGGGGTGACAAATGCTATGAAGAATTAGAAGCAGGAAAAGGCAATAAAGATGTAGGTGTGTAATGCTTTGGAGTTGGAGAGGGGGTCAGAGGTTAGGCAGAGACTTTTACGGAACGTATTGTCTTCATGCTCGAATTTACCATTGACAAGAGATTCAAGTGGGGAAGTCTCTCATGCAGAGGGCATCTGTGACATTCAGATGCCACCTTGAACCCGGTCAAAGCCTAGACACTATCAGCAGACATGAGAGTGCCCTTCCACGTGGAATTCTTTAGAGAATCTGCTAAAGCCATGAGCATGTTGGCTGATGCAGGCAGAGGTGTATCCACTGCAGGTCCATGGAGAGCCCTTATTGGCATTTTTGTGCTTGTTTTTTCTTTATCCATTTATGCACACATGCACATATTCCACACACTTTCCCTGAGTCTGACTATGTACCAGAGACTTTGCTAGGCAGTGTTTCTGGAAAAAAAAATACGCAGACTCGTAAGTATTTTGATCCACTTACTTGATACAACTCCAGAGTTTTATTTTGGTGACCTAGAAAAACAAAGGCTGGGACCAGGAATACTGGGGAATGACATAAGGCCCACATTCTTCTCTTATAACTGTTTATGTTTTGGGAGAAAATTGTCCAGAAGAGAATTGGGCTTAGCAGTAGTACAGGCTGGCCCCATGCTGAAGATCCGCACATCTGGCACTCAGTGTGCATCTCTACCTGGATGTCCTGGAGGAAAATCAAAACCAGCAGAGCCAAGACTAATGTTATCTTTCCTTCAGAATCTCCACTGCCTCTCAGTAGGATCTCCCAGCCATCTTACTCAGATCATTGGCAGATAGTCTCTATTTCACTCTCCCGCTTTTTCCCTCAGTTCTTTCAATAATTCTTTGGCTTTCACATCTGCTTCCAGTTGGCTTGGACTATCATGGTTCCTCATCCAAATGGCTGCAGCAGCCTCAAGAGCATCTCTACCTTATCTCACTGCTTTGTCTATTTCTTCCTACAAATGGTCACCATAGTGATGCTCTGATAATGAAAAACTAAATGCATCAATGGCTCTTTTAAATGTTTTTCCATGCCTCTCAAAAGCTTTAATCCAGTCCAAACCCATCCATAGCAAGCAAAAGTCTCTGTGAGTTGGATCTTACCCAGATCTTTTCCAGTGCCCCACGGTTCCCAGGATTTACCCATAAAAGCACACTCCTGAGTGTGCCACACTTTGCTTCATGCTGCCTAGACTCTGTATGGGCTCTTTCTTTTGCCTCGGAAACCTCCCACCATGGGTTAATGCTACGCTTTCAAAACAGCTGAAATATTATTTCTTTGGGCCAGACTTCCTTAACCACCACCCCCTTCCAATTACCTTACTCTATTAGGTGCTCTTTCCTTGTGTTACCATAGTTTTGAGGATACAAACAGATAATAAAACCCACTTCCTAGATTATTGAAAAGATTAAATGATGTAATAAAAGGCATTTAAAACAGTACTTGGCACATAAGCATTTAATAAATGTTAGTGGCCATTAAAAGTTAATAATTGAGCTCTTCTATGGCTTCTAAGCTCAAATGTCTTCGGAGCCCAGGCAAGTCTCTAAAATATGTGAAGCAGCAGGTATGAGATGGTTAGTATTTTTTTTTTTCTTGAGACAGGTTCTCAGTCTGTGACCCAGGCTTGAGTACAGTGGCGTGATCATGGCTCACCTCTGCTTCCACTTCTCAGTCTCAGCTGATCCTCCCACCTCAGCCTACCTAGTAGCTGCTACTACAGGTGCACACCACCATGCCCAGCTCATTTTTGTACTTTTGTAGATATGGAGTTTTGCCAACTTACTCAGGCTAGTCTTGAGCTCCTGGGCTCAAGTGATTCTCCAGACTAGATTCTCAAAGTGCTGGTATTAACAGATGTGAGATGCTGTGCCTGGCAGAGATGCTTGGTTTTGATGGGGGTCATTCTAAATTGGAGAGAACACCAGTCTGAAAACTTGCAAGTTAAAAACCAAAACAAAATAATCCTGCTCAGCAAAACCTATTTCCTGACTGTATCCAGTTCTCAGCGCTAGTTTGCAAGTCTTAGAATATAGTCTCCCACTCTCCATTCATTCTGTGACTGTTTTGTATACCTATTATGTTCCCTGCTCTATACTAAACACTGGGCATACAGTGGTGAACTTGATAGATCTTTTCCTCACTGAATTTACTGGACTTTAAGCTCCTCAAGAGCAGTCACTGGCTTTTCCTTTCTGGTGCAGCATGCAAGATGCTGGCTCAGCAAAGTCAGGAACTAAGTGCCTGAAAAATAAATGTGTGAGTGAAATGAGCTAATTTCATCAGATTGAGTAGAACTGAGCTAACAGCTTCCCCTCACTTAATTCTATCTAGTCATAAATTTCTGTTTTCTCACCAGAGATTCCACCACCCCTAGGGTTTATCTTTTCCTTCTGAACATACATAAGATATAAAAAGGATCATTCTCTCAGTTTAGTATTCTTTCCACATTGTCAAATCACTCTTGTCTACCTTAGTTACTAAACTCCTTGAGTTTCCTACCATGCTGTGTGGATACACCCAATTGCATCTGATATCACATCATCCCTGTCCTCTCAAAAAATAACAGATTTTTATCTTAAATGAAATGAATTTTAGATTAATTTGTGTGTCTTAAGTTTTCATAACACTTAAGAGTACTGAACCTCTGAATGTGGCCATCACTGTTGCAGAGGTATATAGGCCTTGTAGCTTTGTATAAGGTGTATTACCAAAGTATTCTGCAGCTACTGCTAGTAGATCATATGTCCACTCTCCCGTTTTACCCCCAGAGACCTTGCTATGGTTTGAATTTTTATATCTCATCCAAAATTTATATATAAAAATTTATATATATATAAAAGCCTAATCACCAAAAAGATGGCAGTAGAAGGTGGGGCCTTTGGGAGTTGATTAGGCCGTGAGGGGAGAGCCCTCATGAATGGAATTGGTTCCCTTGTAAAAGAGGTGTGATGGAGCTTGTTAGCTCCTTTGCTCTTCTGCCATGCGTGAACATAGAGAAGGTGCCCCCTTTGAGCAATGGGCTCTCACCAGAAACCAGTTCTGCCAGAGTCTTGGTATTAGACTTTCCAGCCTGCAGAAATGTAAGCAATAAATTTATGCTATTTATAAACTATCCAGCCTAAAATATTTTGTTATAACAGTCTGAGTGGACTAAGACAGAACTCACAAGCATTTTTAAGTAGATGTTAAACTGCAGTGATGAAATGTTGTGTCCTACTTCAGATTGGTCTGGCAGTTGGTGACATTGCTGAGGTTCAGAAACATGCGTCACTGAAGAGGATAGCTATGCAGGTAAGTACCGTGCTTCCCAACTTATGAGAGTGTTATGCTCTAGTAAACCCACTGTAAGTTAAAAATATTGTAAGTCAAAAATGGGCATTTTGTAGGAATAAGCCAGTTACAAATTTATAACACTTACACTGTAAAGTATGGGCTGTTTACCTTCCTAATCACGTGGCTGACTGGGTTCTGTGGCTCACTGCCACAGCCGGGAATCCCAGGAGAATACCACACACCTAGCTAGCCCAGAAGAGATCAAAGTTTAAAATTCGAAGTGCAGATTCTAATGACTGTGAATCACTTTGACACCATCATGAAGTCAAAAATCATGAGTCTAACCATCCTAAGTTAGGTATTGTCTGAATTACATTTATTTAAACTTACTGAAATTAACACCATTATAATTACTTCCTTTTCTGAGAGCATAGTTATTGAGCATGGATGTTTTCTTGATCCTGAGGAGTCACATTCTGTTTGTATGTTTTCTGGTATATCTGCTCTAATCAAAGATGATGAAAAAAAATGTCCTAGAACAATCATAGCAGAGACATTGAGAAATTGCCTGAGCATCATTTTTGTTATGTTAACACATGGCCAGCCAGGTAGCTAGCAGCTGGATCAAGAGCATTACTGGCATCGTAGCCCCTCTATTCGAATTAGCTCCTTCTATTTTGTGCAGGGAATCACAGGGTTCCCACAGCATGATTTATGTTGAAGTTTTAACTGCATCCATGCAGTGTTGTTCTCGTGTGACATGTCTCCTTTTTATTGGCAATTTGATGCAAAATTTCGTGTCAGAGGTTCCTGGCTAGGTACTTGGCTATTGAATCTTTTGAAGTACTTTTCTGCCATACAACACAAAGTTATTTTCATGCTCTTGACTGGATTATCTTTAAATTTCAAATTCAAATGGGCATATTTGAGGCTTCAAGGATATCTGGTGACAAGTTGACTATATGCATTCAGAAACTTTGGCCAATTTGAGAGACAGAAAAATCATTTTACAGTGTAACTTTCTATTCACTCTGTCTCCTCGTCACTTTTATGTGTCACAATTCTTTCTTCTCTGCTTTTTATACACCCCTTTGTATCTGATGTATAGATATGTTTAGTGTAACTACTATATAGTGAGATTTGCTTTCTAAGGCCAAATACTTTTCAACATCTGAGCATTAATGTGATTTATAGCCATAAAGAGTGAAATGGTAAAGAGTTTTCCTGACACCACTGCTTAAAATTGTGGCCCTTCCCACAGCACCCCCACATGAGTTTTTCCCTATGTGGCTTTCTTGCTATTTTTCTAGCACTTAACACTATTTAATATACTGTGTATTAGTTCCAGTTTCAGAAAAAGCTATGTTTTTTTTTGTCTTATTAATAATGCCAGTTAAATATTTTCACTGATTTTCTATGATAATTTCTGGGGTTCCTTTTTTACCCTTGGCTCTTTAAGGTGATATGACTTTCCCCTTCCCATACATATAGTTTTAGAGGTTGGGATTTAACAGGACATACATACCATCCTGAAAGGAGGGGCCAGCAGAAACAAAGGGCCACATCAGAATTGGGGAAAATGGCCAAGGCACTGGCCCAAGGCCTCCTTTCTTGGAAGGATCATTCATGTTAGTAGGTGATTAGATTCCTCCACATGATGGGGGTGTTATTCAAAACCAGCAGAGAAGAATCTTAGCAAAGGGCAGTAAATGATGAAGCACTTCCAGCTATTTTGTAAATTAGTGGAGAGTTAGTGTTAGCCCTTCCACAATGAAAATGGTGTTAATAGTGATCTGCTATTATCTTGGTTCAGAGAGGAAAAATCGAAGGCAGGAAGAGCTAATGACAGGTTATCACTGTCACAAAGATGGTGTGTAGGACTCCAGGTGAGTGAATATGGAGAGGAGATGTATAAACCTCCTGGCAGGTATGTCAGTAATACCTCAGAACTGCCCTGATAGCTCTTTAAAATAACTTGGGGAATAAATAGAAAGAATAATACAAGCAATAGCACCAAATAAAATGTGTTGGGGAAGCTTGCTCAACTACAGCGTCAGTGGGATTGAGCTGAAAATCACAATCCTATATTGTTAACTCTGCTCCCTGAAAGTAAACAGCACAAATCCTAGTACCTCCATGTTATCTGTGCCTTGTTTTGGATCAAAAACAGCATCAACTGGGAAACCAGGAAGGCTCTGTCTCTCCTGCCCTAGGCGTATATACACACACACCCACACACATGTGTGCACGTACACACACATTCGCACTGCCCAGTTGTGCACATTTTGTAGTATTGCAACACCCCAAGAGTATGAACTATCCTTTTCTTCTTTAAAGCTCCAGCATTGAACAACAAACATCAGGTGACTATCCCTGAACAATAAACAGCAGGTGACTAAAATTGAATTCATTTTTTAAGCAACTTCCCCCTCTCCTTCTTCTCTGGCTCCAAGACAAATTTCTGCCCTGTATATGGGTGAGGTGAGACAAGGAGGCAGGTGACTGTGAGCTACGTGATAAGGAAGCCTGGCCAGCCCAGCTGTGACACAGAAGTCAGGACACAGAAATCAGTTTTCATTTTGCTGTAATAATGATTGCCTCTATGCCATATAAAAATTCCAGATTCTAATTAATGATTCTATCAATAAATCCAAAATGTGCTTTAGGTGGAACTTCACACCAGCTTAGAGAAGAAGCTGCCATTATGGTTTCTACACAAAGTGGATCAGAAATCCACTATCGTGTATCCCAACAAACCCAGATCTGGTGGGATATTATTCGTAAGTACACATAACAACAACATCAGTAACGTAACACTGTTTGACATTCATTCATTGTGTTAACCCTGAGGGGGCCCTTTTGTAGATTTTGAGTCTTCTCTGCCTGTGGGAAGAGAAATTGTGCTTTAAAAAGAAAAAGGATATGATTAACCCAAGATGTGAAAGAGCTAGGTGAGAGGAGGATGACATTTGCTCTCCCATTTCAGGCATCCATAGTATCTGTGCTAAATACACACAACATCTGTGCTAAATACGAGCTGTCTCTGTGAGAGAAGATGGGCGGGGGACCAGCCATACCCCTTCAGTGTCTTTTATACAGTATAGGTATACTTTATTTGCTTTTCCTAGTCACATGTCACTTACATTTATGTGTAAATATATATGTGTGTATATACAGTCAAGTGTTTGTAATACACAATAAAGAATACACATGTATACAAACACACACACACACAGATACACACTGTATTAATCTGTTTTCACACTACTATAAAGAACTGCCCAAGGCTAGGTAGCTTATAAAGGAAAGAGGTTTAATTTACACTCAGTTCCGCGTGGCTAGGGTGACTTCAGGAAACTTGCAATCATGGCAGAGGTGAAGGGGAAGAAAGGCAGCTCCTTCACAGGCAGCAGGAAGGAGGACAAAAGCACAAGGAACTACCAAACAATTATGAAACCACTAGATCTTGGGAGGACCCACTCACTATCATGAGAACAGTGTGGAGGATACTAGCCCCATGATCCAATTACCTCTACCTGGCCTCTCCCTTGAAATGTGGGGATTATAAGGCAAAATGAAATTTTAGTGGGAACACAAAGCCTAACCATGTCACACACACACACACACACACACACACACACACACACACACATACACACACACACACACGGAGTGTCCACTATAGAAAATTAAGTAATCAAAGACTAAGCAAGATCATTGCATTTTAAGGGAAGAGAGACCATATGAAGAACAAAAATAACTGGGTGCTGATCCTTAGCATGCCTTGGCTCCCTTCATCTCTACAACTGTTCTTTCTAAGTTCTTTTCAGGTTAATTTCCCCTGTGACATCATAAAATGATAAAGTTGCCCTGAGTATCAGTCTAGAATTTATTCTAACCCCACAGTATCTCTCCATCTGATTTCACTCATGTCCGTGGTTACAATTACTACCGAAACACAGAATGCTCAGCAGCTAAGTTCTCTATCCTAGAGCTCACCCTTGAGTTCCTGGCCCCTACATCCAGCTGCCTACTTGACATCTCCACTTGCATGTCTTAAAGGTGCCTCACATTCAGCAGGTTCAAAACCAAACTTCACTGCTTTCATGTTTAACCCTCTCCTCACATATCCCCTACAGGAAAAATAGTATAAAAGTCCCGGTCCTGGCCGGGTGCGGTGGCTCAAGCCTGTAATCCCAGCACTTTGGGAGGCCGAGGCGGGTGGATCACGAGGTCAAGAGATCGAGACCATCCTGGTCAACATGGTGAAACCCCGTCTCTACTAAAAATACAAAACATTAGCTGGGCATGGTGGCGCGTGCCTGTAATCCCAGCTACTCAGGAGGCTGAGGCAGGAGGATTGCCTGAACCCAGGAGGCAGAGGTTGCAGTGAGCCAAGATTGTGCCATTGCACTCCAGCCTGGGTAACAAGAGTGAAACTCCGTCTCAAAAAAAAAAAAAAAAAAGTCCCGGTGCTTTTTTAAAGTTGCCCCTTGCAGTAATGTCAGCACCGTTCATTAGCCTGTGCAAGCCAGCCACCCAGGAGACATCCTAGATCTGTCCCCTCCCCCTCCTTCTCTTCTCAATCTGGTCCATTTGACTTCTTGGGTGGCCTTTGCAACTCACCATTTTCTCTTGCCTGGACTCTTAGAATTACCTCATTCTTGATCATTTCACATCTGCCCTTGACCCTCTCCAGTGAACCTATGGTTTAAAAGATATTAAATTAAATCAAAATATATTAAAATAACATTCCAGAAATTTCTCCAGGTAAAACTTTATTGGTTGGTTGAGTTGTACTGGATAATGCTCAGTGCAGTTTTAGATAATTAACAATGAATCTCGTATGGAATACCACCTTCCGTGATGGGCATTTCTCATGAAAATTGTATAAAACAATTCAGCTAAGCCCCCTTCTAAATAATTTCCTACCCTAATTTACTCCTCTTCTGTTTTATTTGTACATGTTTTATTTCTCTCTGATAATATGTATGACTTCACTTCAAAACTCTTTCTTCACATGTCTGTTTCTCCTGGCAAATTGTGGGTTCCTTGAAGGCATAGCTATGCCTTATACATATTTGTACCAGTGGTGGTTGAATTTTGGCACAATTCCTGAACTGAATTCAATTTCAGTAACTACTATTTTTTTTATCCCACAGCATATATTCTGTTTTTTATTTTGCACTGGAGAAATAAGACAAGAAATACCAAATGCTGACACATCTTTAGAAATGGAAATATTAAAGCAGAAATATCGGTATGTATTTTCTTTCTATCTGCACTTGAGAAATTTAAAACTCATGAATAATAATGTACAGTGTAAAGTTATTTTTTATATTGGTGTTTATTTGCTTTATATATTAAGTCAGGCTTTATTGACAGCCATAGCTAGTATATTGAGAGTCATGAGACATGTTTTAGAACCAACAACATATTTGCCACTATTCAACAATCAGTTTGCCTTCCAATAATAAGTGAAAGATGCTGATTTTCTTTCTCTTGGAGATAGTATCATAAACTGTATTCTTCATCTGAATTCATAAAGCAAAGCTCCAAAAGCTTTTGAAGATCCCTGGAGTAACTATGTGGTGGGCAGTAGTTAAGCATGAAGGTTTGACAGTTAGTTAGTACATGAGTTCAAACCCCTATTCAACTAGGTACTTAATAACTTTGACCCTGGGCAAGCTGCTTAACCTTTCTCTATAATAGTTTATCTGTAAACTGAACAAAAATAAACTAGCCATGAACTAACAGTATAACTTTGGGAAACATTGTTTAAACTTCAAAAATATGTGATTCCTGGAAGGATATGACTACCGTGAGGTTAAAATCTATGTCTTCCTATGTTCAGAAGGGCTAAAAGAAGAACTGAATATAAACTCATGAGACATGTATGTCCTTTTAGGCTGAAGGATCTTTCTTTTCTTCTGGAAAAACAGCATGAACTCATTAAACTGATCATTCAGAAGATGGAGATCATCTCTGAGACAGAGGATGAAGATAACCATTGTTCTTTTCAAGACAGGTTTAAGAAAGAGCAGATGGAACAAAGGAATAGCAGATGGAATACTGTGCTGAGAGCAGTCAAGGCAAAAACACACCACCTTGAGCATTAACTTCTCAGACCTTCAATGAGGCTTCCAATGGAGGGTGCATGACTTGCTAGTTTCAATTTTCAGTTTAAAGAGAGTGAGGAAGAAGCAGAAATCAATTGATTTCACTACATGTGAATTCATGGTTACTGCATGCTTTATAAAAGTAAACTATCTTTTATCCTCTATTCATATTTTCTACTAATCACTATGTATTGGGGATATCTTTGCAGATATGCTTAAGCTGGACTTGACTTTGAAGAGAGATAATCTCATTATTTGAAAGGTAGAAGATGAATTTGCTAAAACACACATTTTTAGTAAAAAGGAGTAATAAATGTAACTATTAAGCTAGAATGCAAATGTCAGTACTGAATTCCTGCTTGCTAATTACACAATATGTGATACCCTAGAAAATAGTCACATTTGTGACTATTACACTTAGTAATACCTTAGATGGTAGTCTTAAATATTAGGTTGAGGTCTACCAGTTGAAAAACTTCTTTGTGTTGGAAGAGCCTGTGGGTGGCACCATGTGTATTCTTTTGTTCATACTATGATGAATAGCCCCACCCTTCTTGATGTCCCCAACAGCTGATGTCACTTTGAGCCATATAGTTGAAGTACAAATTAACAGACCTTGTCATATGCATGAATTTTACCATAGATAATATGTTGTTTCTGTTTTTGTTTGCCAACGAGCATAATAAATGTAAAACCTATATAGTATACCTGTCATTATTGTATGAGCCTTTGTTTTGAGATTTGAAAAAACATGCCTCCATCACATATTCCCTCTTTTCTTTTGATGTCTACTCAAATCATGAATTAATCACATACCTCATCATTCATCTTTTCAAAGTCTTTCTCTTGTTTTGTCTGATATTCTCTATCATCCTGATTCACATGTTTATTCCCTCACTACCCCCAGGAGACATTTACTCTAATGAATATGTCTTTGGCTATGTATGTGTCCTTGTGTTATACTGGACAGTGTTGTTTTGAGTTTGTTATTTACATAGATGTTACTATGTTAATAGCTTTTATTTCTGTTTTTTTTATTTCTGTCATACTTCTCACTTATTTCTTATATTTTTACTCATTTCTGTTTCTTACTGCTTTTCACTGGACATGATGTTTACAAGATACAACTGTGTTACCGTATTCCATCTAGCACAGGGCCTTTGATGTGGCTTACTATTTCATTGTGTACCTACCATACTGGTCTTTTCTAGAGATGGACAGCTTGGTTACCGCCACCTTCCTGCACACATTCTCAAACATGCTGATGTTCATACAAACCAGCAGAGTGCTGAGGGACAATTTTGTGCTATTACAAAACCAGACATTTTTATATTCATGGTCCAACAGAGCACGTGGCCTAGAGGCAATGTTGTATATGCCTTAATCTTTGATGCAAAGAATATCTTTGTTCTTTATATTTCTTAAAATAGAAAGGCTGGAAAATCACAATACAGGATCAATGACCAAAGATCTCCTGGTCATAAAGACAAATAGTCTTTTCAGTCTTCACTCTCCTCAAACTTTGTGTAGCATTGCACGATATAGACCTCAGTCAACATTCACCAAGTACTAAGAATGTGAGAAACATGGTACCATGCCTGTTATGGAAAATACTTAATTAAGCATATTGTCTTACAACAACCTCACTCTCAAGAAGCTTATAGTTTAATGGGTCTTCATTTATTTTCTGCAGTTCTTTTCTCCTTTACCCCCAAATATGGAACTGCTTTTCCACTGTTTCCACTGATTGCTTCTTTTCTCCTTCCCCACTGGCTTCTCTCTCATGCCAACTAACTCCGTGTGTCCCTCCCTGAGGTCTGTACCGGCTCTGTTTCCTCTCTTTCCTCTCTTCTGCTGCTTCTCCTAAAGTCCAGTCCATCATTTCTACAGTTCTTCGAATTAAATACATATAAATCTGAAGTTGTTGGTGAGAGAAACAAACCAGCTCCTCCAGATTTCCTATTTTCCATCAATGGTACCAGGATTCTCTCAGCCTCCTAGATTCGAAAGGAGTCAATACACTAAGTTGAGTTAATCTTCCTAAAGTAGAGCTTTAAGCCTTCACACCCATGTTAAAAGCTTAAAGGTTTTCTTTTTCTTCATAAGTAACCTAAACTTCTTAACCTGCCTTCTCAATCTAAATTAGCCTTATCATCCAAATTGGAAGACCATTGCTTCATGAAGACACTATGATTTTATCTCCCCACCTTCAACTCTACTCTCTCCAACTCTTAAAGCTCAGTTTAAACAGAATTCTACACCTTGAAGTTTTTTCCTAATGCTCCCCACTCATTATGCTTCTTGCCTCCTCAGAACTCACACAGACTGCACCTCTCTTCTGGTACTGAAGCCTATTATGGTGACTCTGACTTGCCATACCCTTCCCCAACTAGAGGGTAAACTCCCTGAGCTTTATGGTTTATTATCACCAGTACTCTCAAAGGAAGCAAATAATTACATCCTATTTCATATTTTTTTTCATCTCGTGGAGCTTCTATACTGTGCCTTGCACATAACAGATGCTCAACAAATACATATACACAAAAGACAAAAATCAGTGAAAATAAATACCATAGGCTGGAAAGAGACTGCAAGAAAACCAGCTTAGTATGCCTCAGAAAAAGTAGTTTAGTGTTCTTTTTCTGTTGATTCTCTGTCCTAAAGAAGTTGAATGATTTGCCTCTAAGTGGTGGAAGAAGCATTAGACACCACTTTTCTGCCTTTTTGTTCCCACCGCTTCAATTTGGGCTATTGTTTTAATGGTTGTTAGCTATGGTTAGCACTGGCAACTGAAAGGTTTGTGCTTTGCAAGAAAACAACTTGTGCCTTCATACTGACTCTACTTCCTATTGGTTGACTGACTCTGGACATGTTTTCTCCTCTCTAAAATGGTGATTATAGAATGTATTCTTTATGGTATTGGTAGAATTGGACAATCACATGCATACAGAGTACCTAACTCAGTAAACACTATTGCAATATGTTCAATAAAACTGATTTACCTGAGATAAAGGGGGGTACAAAGCACTAGGATTTTCATATTATACCAATTACCCATGGAATTTCTTTGGAGGTTAATTAATTAGTAGCCTGATATAAACTGAAGCTCCCAGATACTTCTGAATCCCATTAGCCAAACAAATCCTGGAATGTGTATACTACAATAAAAATTTTACATTTAGGTAAAATTTTGATTAAACTATTCCCACACTTTTGTCATCTTTATTTTTGCTTTAGACTCAAATCATCAAACACTGATGGAGTACCAACTCCATGCTAGTCAAAGTAAATCATCACTGAATATATTTTAACCATTTTACACATTTTGATGTGAGTAGATTAAACAATGGCAAAAAGAAAAGGCTTATGAGGTTTGCTGTGTATCAGGCACTGTTCCAAGCACTACGTACTAACTCATTTGATTGTCAAAACATGTATGTGATAGGTGCTATGATAGTTATTATTCTTTTTTTATAAAACAAATCATGACACTTCTAGGCTGAGTAGCTTGTTCAAGATCATATTGCTGAGATGTAAACTTAGGCAGTCTGCTTCTGGATTTTGTATTCTTAAAGCTATACTATCTCTTAAATAAAAACCAGGTGAAATAGCATCCTTTCTTCGTTGACTTTATACTTAAGACGTTACTGAGTGGATATTTGCAATATAACATTCATAGATAAGTACATTTGAAGGTTAAGAGGTATGGGACACTACAAACATAATGAAAACAAGTGCACAGGCACTGAAGTCAGGAAGCCTGCCTGAGTCATAGAAAGTCTAACTGCTATCTCACTGTGTGACTTTGTTAAACAAGATACTTAAACTCTCTAGTAAATGGGGTAATAAGAGTACATACCTCCACTGGGTGCAGTCGCTCATGCCTGTGATCCTAGGGGTTACCTGAGGTCAGGGGTTCGAGACCAGCCCAACCAATACAGTGAAACCGTGTCTCTACTAAAAATACAAAAATTAGCTGGGCATGGTGGCATGTGCTTGTAATCCCAGCTACTTGGGAGGCTGAGACAAGAGAATAGTTTGAACCTAGAAGGTGAAGGTTACAGTGAGCTGAGATTGTGTCATTGCACTCCAGCCCAGGCAAGAGAGCAAGACTCTGTCTGGAAAAAAAAAAAAAAAAAAAAAAAAAAAAAAAAAAAAAAAAAAAGAGTACATACCTCATAGAGTTATGCTAAAGATTAAATGAATTGATATGGGTAAAACGCTTGGCACATAGCCAGCACTTAGTAAATATTAGTATGGAAGACTAAATCATTTGCAAAGATAGGAAAGAAAAATCATTTATTTAAAGCATTTTGTTCTTTTTATCCTGACTGAGAAAAGTAAAGACTACACAAAGACTATCTTAAAAATTTACCTATCATATCACATTTCAAAAATTTTTCCAGTTTGGTTCCAAAATTTCTCAAACAATTGAATTCATGTACTTAATATGACTTCACTATTTTTATGATACCACAAGTGACATTTTGTAAATCGTAAAAACTCAGACATACAAATTGCTTCTTTTAATATGGCTAAAATAGTCATTGCATACCTAGCTACTCCTTTTACCTGTCAGATATATTATTTCAAGTGATAGTGATTTATAGGAAGGCTATAAAAATAATACATCATTTGAGAACTGGGTATAAGCATTATTACTCATAAGAACTCCTCAAGTTCTCTCTCTACGATATGCATTTAGGCAACACATTTATTTCAAATCCTGATTTTTAAAGGTGATGAGATTTAAACGGCAGTTTGGAAATTGGTTGCACCTTTCCAAAACAAAGAACCACTGGTCATGGTAGGAAGTGATTTTTTTTTAACCTATCAAAGTACATCTAAGAAATAGTTAACATTAAAAATCATTTAGCCAGAACATGCAGCTCATGCTGGCTCAGGGTCTGGGAGCTGGGGCCAGTAACCCCAGGACGCAGGAGAGTCAAGCACAGCCTGATATCGAACCCAGCTTCAAGATCCACTGTGCTAGAATGGGGAAACTGCAAGAATTGGGAGCTGAAAAACTTCCTAGTGATGTTATGAAAATTTCGCACTGAAACTGCTCTTGCCTGAAGGTACATTATTATCAAAGATGTTGTCAGACTTCAGACTTAGGATACAGTTGTTGAAGGTACAGCTGAGTGAAGTTTAACCCATCATGAAGCCACAGAGTGAACTGAACTGGGCTGATTCCTAGAATATGAAGCAAGTTGTCTTGTCATTTCGCTCTGATTTTGCTTGTTAGTTTTAGTGAAGTGGTGGGAGATGATAGAAGACAGGAAGATGTGGGAAACCCCTTGCCATTTCTAGCTCCAGACCCAGAACAAAAGGTGTCCAGCATGTCTAGAGATTTCTAGGAGGCTGAGGCAGGAGAATTGCTTGAACCTAGGAGAGGAGGAGGAGGTTGCAGTGAGCCCAGAACGTGCCACTGCACTCCAGCCTGGCTGAGAGAGAGAGACTTCATCTCGAAGAAGAAGAAAGAAGAAAGAAGAAAGAAGAAAGAAGAAAAGAAGAAAAGAAGAAGAAGAAGAAGAAGAAGAAGAAGAAGAAGAAGAAGAAGAGGAGGAGGAGGAGGAGGAGGAGGAGGAGGAGGAGGAGGAGGAGGAGGAGGAGGAGGAGGAGGAGGAGGAGGAGGAGGAGGAGGAGGAAGAGGAAGAGGAAGAAAGAGAAGGAGAAGGAGAAGGAGAAGAAGAAGAAGGAGGAGGAGGTGGAGGAGGAGGAGGAGGAAGAAGAAGAAGAAGAAGAGGAAGAGGAAGAAGAAGGAAGAAAAAGAAGAAGAAGAAGAAGAGGAAGAGGAAGAGGAAGAAGAAGGAAGAAGAAGAAGAAGGAGGAGGAGGAGGAATAAGAAGAAGAAGAAGAAGAAGAGGAAGAGGAAGAGGAAGAGGAAGAAGAAGAAGAAGAAGAAAAGAAGAAGAAGAAGAAGAAGAAGAAGAAGAAGAAGAAGAAGAAGAAGAAGAAGAAGAAGAAGAAGAAGAAGAAGAAGAAGAAGAAGAAAGAAGAAGAAGAGGAGGAAGAAGTCGTGATCCTGAGCTGCAACCCAACAAGGAATCCATTGAGGGAAGCAGCGTCCTCTAGGGGTGGGATTGATAGAGAGCTGGAACCAGAAGACCGCATTGGCTGAGATCTTTCTGTGTGTAGGAGGATCTAACACCTACAGCGACGTTAACCTATGGTTCTGCACCTCTTTCTATTAGGATTTATTGGGAATCTGCAAGTCCAAAGGCAGATGGTGGCAGTTACTTAAAAAGGTTTCCATTTCAATTGCCACAGAATAGTATAGACTGCCAATAAACAGATACACAAGTCAGGTGTATAAAGTGGTACAGTAGTCCTCCTCCTTAACCCAAGTTTCTCTTTCTGAAGTTTCAGTTATCCACAGTCAACCATGATCAGAAAAGAGGTGAGTACAGTACAGTAAGATATTTTGAAAGCAAGAGACTACAGTCACATAAATTTAGTATACTGTTATAAAATTGCTCGATTTGATTATTATTGTCATTTCTTTTTGTGCCTAATTTGTGTGTATTGTAAATATGTATGTATAGGAAAAAACATAGTATATATAGGGTTCAGTGCTATCCATGGTCTCAGGCATCCACTGGGGGTCTTGGAACATATCCCCCACAGAGAAAGGA